ATTTATTCCTTGCTGCTGTATCTTCTAAGCTACATGAATATTATATATTACATACGTACATGTTTATGCAGTTAATTTGATTTTTGTATTTCATACCAACGAGATAAAGTGTTTACTGCAGAGGTATAAAATAAAAAAGCAGTAGAAATGAGAGAGTTTTGAAAAATTAGATGGAACAGTAGGACAGTAAGAAGAGAATATAGAGTGTAATATTATGGGATAAAGGATAACAATGGTGTTCTGTTTCACACAGAATCGTTCAACCGTCTTGATCTTTCGAGAGCCTGTCGTTAACCAAAATAGCGACGCGATCAGCTGTTCCGAAAGATCAATATATCGATTGAACATTGACACGGCTAACCAGACAAAGACAGAATTAATATATTTCTCGTTTCACTCATGTTGAATTCATTTGTCTTAACCTATTGATAGGGTTCCCCGCATACTTGAATGCAATTCACTTGATTTCCTCCTCTTTTCTCAAGAGGGGCCAACGAAATAATCGAATCGAGCTGCAGTAGTTCAGTTTTTCATAGACCTTTGACCGAAAACGATCGAGCTCATCAGACACGGTTCTGAATTAAGATCACGTATCAATTGGTCGTTAGAATCCTTGATATTCGGCTTATTCTGATTATACAGCATTCAACGTAAGATTGATTGACTGAGGTCGACCATCGAGACTTCGTCAACCATCTTCGTTTTCCATAATCAATCAGTCGAATAATGCTGAATAATCTTTGGATTCAGCCAATTGATGTATCGAATTATTAACGATTGGTCGAATAGAGTTCAACACGGAACTCAACCAATTATTTATCGTTCTCGACGTGCGTTGGTTGAAAAAGAGTCGTAATATCGAGACTCAACCAATCGTCACGATTGCGAAATTCATACGTCAAGAAAACGACGCGTCTAGGGCAGGAATTGTCAGATGCAGCCCTACCGATGAGTCTACTGACAATTCCGAGACGAAACGCACGCACTCCGTAAATTCGATCCATTTGAATCAATCACTCGATATTAATTTGGCGAGTGATAATCCGATTGTTTGTATTCTTTAAAAAAATTTTAAAAGTAAAAGTATGCAACAAATGGAGTGTTTAAATGAATTAAAGAAGCGTAGAACAAATTTGAGCATATTGTATATATATTTAAATATTATTCCATAATTATGATAGTCGGATAATGATGATAATAATAATAAAAATTAAATAATAGTACAATAATTTATTCAAATAATGTAGATAAATAAAAGTATAATTAAAAAAATGTTATATGCAATTTGCATTTAAAAAACAGATTTGTTTAACTTTGTCTGACAACAAGCATGTTCGCTTTTCCGTGACAATATTGCCAGCTCTAGAAAATAGCCTCTCACTGTAGGTTCGGATTGCTGGAATGCCTAATAAACTTTTGGCCACTGGCGCTAAATGGACAAATCGAATTTCGTTCTCTGTCCACCATTGCAAAATGCAGTTGTCCGTTGGAATGACTTTCTCTGCCATGTACATACTAATTTGCTTGTTCACCCGCAAACATTACTATTCGTCGCGACTGATTAAGATACGAATACATCATCATCGTTCGCTCGATCCCCAAACATTCCACAGTGTTTCGAGTTGACATTACACTCCTCGTAGCTAGCACGCCTATCAAACATTATACACGGCCTGCACATCATAAACCTGGGCGAGCTGAGATCAGTTTCGTCGCCCAAGGTTGCTGCATTTTTTTAAAATGTCGACCAAGTGGCCACATTCTTTAATACTGTCTTTCACCATCAATTGAAAAGAATAAAGTACATGTAGATTTGAAATGTTGACAATATATTAATTTGTTTAACATTTGAATTGCTTGATACTTTTTGCTTACTTGTAATGTGTGAGCAAAACAGGGGATCCTCTCCCACGCATTACATAATGTGATTGCCTTTACAATGTTTGCACCATTGTCGGTGATGAAATATATCTGGTAATTGGTACTGCTGAATCCCCATTTATCCAAAGTATGTCTTAGGTAGTTGTTGATATTTTCACTGGTATGGCATTCACGAATAACAGCAATGTTTAAAGTATAATTGACTAATTTGAAATTATCATTTAAATAGTGGACTGTCACGGACATATAATTTTCATTTGCCTGCGATGTCCATCCGTCGGTAGTAAAAGCGAATGAGCGCACTTAAGTAAAAAAATGGAAAAAATAAATACAAATTTTGTATACAATTGAAAAACCTTTTGTTTTAAAAATATTCGAACAGACATTGTAAATAATATAAAATGTTCTACCTTAGAATTAAAACGGTGAAACGTTTCTTGGGAGAATAAACTTATAAAAAAATAATGTTACAAAAATTATTTAGTAACCAGAGGGGTGTGGTACTAGTGCTAATGGAATAATAATAATATTATATATCAGATCGAATAATTTGTCCCAAAAAGAACAGTATCGTGTTAAGAATTGGTTTTTTTTTTTTTTTTTTAAATATATACAAGTTGGTACCCAAGTTGATACCCATTCAATGTAACTAATTGTATTGTATTGTATTGCTTTATTGAGCGTTAACCCTTAACGGGCTGTTTACGCTTTTCTTACACATCATATAATCCGCTCTACAAAAACTTCCTTATACAACTAGAGTACAAAAATCGTAACCCGTACAATATACATATATCTCGTCAGACTTAAACAGTATTGCATTTGTTCCCTTATATTAAACTTCGATGCGTTACTATTGCATATCTCGTCCCACCACCCAATGGATTGAATTCAGGTACCTGTCTATCCGTTACAACACTCATTCATAATTATCTCTTTCCACACTTATTGTCTAATCTTATTTCTACACATGACTGTGCTAAATCGGTCCATCCCATTCTATCCTTACTTCACTTATTCCTATCCTCCTTCTGATTTCCCGCTTTTTTGCCCTAAGTATCTTATTCCGGTAAAAGAATGGACAGGTATGGCTCTTGCAATTGTTTTAGATCAATATACCTTATCACTAAAATCTTTGTACTTTCTTTCCCTTTGTATATCACTATTGTCCACTATTATTTAACCGCATAAAAAACTTCAAAAAAGCAAAAAAATTACGCCAAGTTCATGAAAAAGTAGAGGACTTAAAGAGTAATCATAGAAAAATAAAAGATGCCCCTAAAAAAATTCAAGAAAGTAGGAAAAGATGTGAAATCGAAATGAGCAGCCAGTACTTGAAGGTCCTTTCCAGTAAAGTGCAAGGTGACACTGTGTAACATAATATAAAATTCCGTGCTTTTCAACTATGCGCAGCTAAAATGCTGTGTTTAACAGTGCAGACGTTCAGATTCTAATGACAACTCATGTAAACTGACTGCTCCGCACTTTGACGGTGAAATGAAGAAGCTAAGTAGTGTATCAACCATAAACTGAGACTGTTTAAACATTTGCCTAGATGTTCGTGGCCTGGAAGTCAAATGCTTGGCATGGCCAGGCAAGGTCAAGGTTTTGATGAATAAGAATTATTTTAAAATGTAAAATAATAAAAATGTACTTATATTGTCAGCATTTTAAACTGACAAATTATCTGAAAGTTTGTAAGAGGAAAGGTATCTATGTCAATGAATGTTCTTAGAAATATTTTAAAACACAATAAAATGAAAATGTACTCATACTGTCAAAGTTTTAAATTGAGAAATTATGTGAAAGTCTGCGTGAGAGAAAGTATGGGTATTGATGATCTGAGAATGCTTTGCCTGGCCTTGCCAAGCATTTGACTTCCAGGCCACGAACATCTAGGCAAATGTTTAAACAGTCTCAGTTTGTGGTTGATACACTACTTAGCTTCTTCATTTCACCGTCAAAGTGCGGAGCAGTCAGTTTACATGTGTTGTCATTAGAATCTGAACGTCTGCACTGTTAAACACAGCATTTTAGCTGCGCATAGTTGAAAAGCACGGAATTTTATATTATGTTACACAGTGTCACCTTGCACTTTACTGGAAAGGACCTTCAAGTACTGGCTGCTCATTTCGATTCCACATCTTTTCCTACTTTCTTGAATTTTTTAGGGGCATCTTTTATTTTTCTATGATTACTCTTTAAGTCCTCCACTTTTTCATGAACTTGGCGTAATTTTTTTGCTTTTTTGAAGTTTTTTATGAGGATCTCACTTCTTTTTACAAAGATAATTTGTATAATGATAACCATATACTTCCAAATACAGTATCACTACACGTAGTCTTTAAAATAATTATTCAATTTACGGCGTCCAAATGTCACAAATACAAACTGACAGGTTATACAGGTTAGAAATGAACGAGCGATGTGAGCGGCAGCCATATTACAATTCCGGCCGACGAGCCCTGCCGACTGATTCCGAGAGTCGACGAATCGACGAACGGCCTTAGCTCCTATTGGCTAAGTGTTGACGAAAACAATAAGTATAAGAGTCAGAATCAGAAGAAAAATCTACAATTTCTGACCGATTTATGACATGATATTACGATATCTCAGTTGTACATGGACCGGACCGATTTTATGATTTTGGTTTTATTAGAAAGATTACACGAGATTTACATAAGAAAAATGCCTTTAAATTTAGAAAATATTGCAGGTGTGATGAGATATTAATGAAGGAAGTTTCAGGTTAGGTTGGAATCGCAATTTTACGAGTAAAAAATACGTGGTAGCGCCAGCGCCAGTGCAGTGTACAGGGTGGTGGAACTTTTGTCATGTACTTGGCGTCAAGACGCTACCGCGTCTCTAGATTCTCCTACAAGAATGGATGTATTTTATGAATTGACCACTGAATAAGTGACGCTGCGATCGTCCAGTAACTGGTTCGAAATTTGAGAGTAAACAATTAAACACTGCTTTAATCGTGACTTAAATATACCTGTATATAGTGAAGCACGAGTTAAGGTTGTGTAGCTGATTCGTGATTCGAGTTTATTTACCTACGATTCATCACATGACCACGCGATTCACTTCGGTGACTTATATAGATAAAACCGCCTGTTTAAAACCAGCTGACAAGATGTTACGTCAGCCAGTCGGTAGCCGTTGCCATTGGACGCACGACGTTATTGCCAGTGTTGGTTATGCCGGGAGTCTGAAATTGTGTACCTTTTTTCTCTCGTTCGAACGTATCGCTGAATCATGTCCAAAATTGACGAATATTACTTGACAGTGCTTCGACTAGTTAAAGAAGCTGGCTCGGTAAGTTTCAGTTCCTTTGATAAAATCGATGCTAACCCGCGGAAAAAATGTTTTGGAGAATCGAGTTATTCTTAGTTAATAGTTACTACGTTTATCGATTTTGCACACAAACATGGATTTCAATAAAATTCTTAGTCAGTATATATATATATATATATATATATATATATATATATATATATATATATATATATATACATATATGTTTTGTTTTTGTATTCCCCTCGAACAGGTTTGTGTCGTGTTACTTTATGAAATATTAATGCATGCTTGCTCGATGTTCAGTCATTCGTTTTAATGATTTGTTTTGAAGTTGTTTTGTTTAACGTAATGTTAATTCTATCGTAAAATCGATCGATATAATATTACGATAAAAACTATTTATTGGGGGATATTATGTATTTGCAATTACTGTAATTTTATAAGTTGGATTGATAATAAATTATGTCAATGTCAATGCGTTCGACTTCTAATAGGATTTATAGTTACCATGTCCATTGTAATGACTGACCATGTTGTTATCATTTATGTAACCTATAATGTTAATGTGCATGCTTTACAAACGAATTGCATTATACTTACGTTAAAATTTATGTACAATTACAATTTTCGTGACTTATTTTCGTGATGAAATAAATTGAAATTCTCAACATTAAAAACTTGGAGTGTTACTTAATTACATGTACAAGTGGAAGAATTCTCATTAAATAATTATTAGCTGGTACTTTAAATCTTTTCATTATATTGCTATTTGACTTCTACTTTCACATTTATTTGAGAAAACATTTGTTAACAACGATTTGTTCCATCTCAAGTTTATTTAATTATGTGTAATCGATATGAACAGGCGTAAAAAATACGAAATTAAGGAAAATAGTTGAGTTGAATCATATCGTTTACAGATCGTTCGGGAAAAAATTAATCAACCGAAGGATCCGATGATAAAGTCGTGCGAAGTCGATCTTGTTACTGAATGGGATCAAAAAGTTGAGAAATTGTTAGTCGAGGGTATATCTTCGAAATATGCAGACCACAAGTACGTTCTGTAATTTATAATATTTAAATAGATGTTTTGTCTTATGTCACAAACAGTTCGGAAATTTCATCATAACGAACAACAATCACAATCTCACGATCAATGTCAATACATATTGCAATCTCCTTCAAAAAGTTTTGGGCTATTTCTTCGATACATATGAACGTGTGGAAAAAGTAGGAAATCCTAATAATTTTTAGAACAAGTGATGTGCTTTTTTTATTCAGTTTTTGTAACATTATTTTTGTGGACGTTCAGCGAAGTTTTTCAACAGGTATTACATGGTTTTCTTGATCAGGTATTAAATATTTGAATATATGTTGAACAATGTTGAACATTTATTTAATAGATGTTGAACATTGTGTTGATAAATGTGGATGAATTTGGTAGTACATGTTGAAAAAACTTGTTATACTTGTTGAGCACTAATTTAATAAACGCTTAAAATTTTTACTAATCTTGAAGTAAACAATGAATATTTCTGACCTGAAACATAAAGTGCGACGAACTCTGTAGAATATAATTTGATCTTATCCATCGAAACCTTCGATTCGTTCTATCCCATTAAGCTCATTATTGCGTGCTTATAACCCATAAGGGGATAAGAATGGTTACTAAGGGTTCCGTAGTATGTTTAACTGGAATTTTCCATTAGTATAACGTTCTAGAACAATCGAAATAATTTATTTGTATTCCAAAAATATGCCGATTTAAAGAGGGCGAAAAATATTATTCATTAAAAAACCAGACAGAAATGAAATTAGCATTAAACAAGTTGAATAGTTTGCGCTGTATGATCTATTTCGTAATATTTTTAACTATTAATTCCATTTTGTAATTACTTGTTAATAAAGACTTTAAACTTGGTTTAATAAAAGATACAAATTTTCCTGTTAAATGTTGATAAATTCGTTAAACAAAAGTTAAAAGTTTCGTTATTGAACGTTGACAAAAATTGCAATTAAAAAAAAAAGATGTAATTATGTGGTATCGTATTTGATGAAAATGTCTGTGTAAAATTTTAAGTGAAAACATACATTTTTCCAGATTTATTGGCGAGGAAGAGAGTTCACTTGGTAAGAAGATCGAATTAACGGACGAGCCAACATGGATCATCGATCCAATCGATGGCACGATGAATTTCGTGCACGGTTTACCGCACACTTGCATATCAATTGCGTTACTTATTAACAAAGTTGCTGAAATTGGAATCGTTTATAATCCGATTTTGGAACAACTATTTACTGCCCGCAAGGGTCAAGGTGCATTTTTGAACGGGGCACCCATTCAAGTCTCTGAAGTAACTGGTAATTAAATTTTATACTCCTATATGTTGTTCAATAACACCTTATCAATAATCGCATTAACTTGCGTTTACCTTTTGAACTTTAAAATAATAAAATCGTTTAAAAATTAAAGCTATATGTACAAAGTTTACATATATACCAAATTGAAACGAATTAAGCTTTATTTTTTTAAAGAATTGCGCAAGGCACTCGTAATGATGGAAATGGGCACAAGCAGGGATCCTGAAAAAATGAAAATTGTATTGGAGAATGCAAACAATCTTACTCCAAAAGTTCACGGGTAAAACGTTTTCGATTTGAGATTGGTCGTTTATTTTACTTAGACATTGTTTTATGATCTCTATTAAAGAGACTTTTGTTCTTCTTATTATATTGCTTCAGAATACGAGCTTTGGGATCTGCAGCTTTAAACATGTGCATGGTCGCTCTAGGCGGAGCGGATGTTTCGTTTGAATTCGGTATTCACGCTTGGGATATTGCAGCTGGTGATATTATTGTGAGAGAAGCTGGTGGTGTGTGTATAGATCCGGCAGGTAATTAATGCATGTTACAGTTATTAGTTATTTTGAAGATAATTAATGTATGATGTATAATTATTTTATTACAATAATAAATTATCTAGATTTAGTGATTTTACTTTTTCTTAACGCTTTAATTTTAGGTGGTCCATTTGATGTCATGAGCAGAAGAGTCTTGTGTGCAACAACAATGGACTTGGCTCAGGAATTAGCTAAAGTATTGGTTCAGTATTATCCCGAACGCGACTGAAAATCTTAAAATAGATATAAATAAATAAACCCAAAACTCAATAATTAAAAATTGAAGTGATTCTGTATTTAATGTACGTATAATTTGTATTATGTACTTCGTTTCGTCATATATCGAAACGTAATTTTAATCTTGTTCAAACCATGACAATTTTTTCCTTTTTCGCAGGCATTTAAGGTTTATAAATAGAAAAATACATATAAATTTTTAAAGAATGTACTTATATTTTACATAGATGTTTGAAACAAAGATGACAATATATCCAAGAGATGTATTATAAATCTAAATTTCATATAAATTACATATTCATGATAAAAAAAATGCTAACAATGTTAAATATTAACGAAAGGGATATTCTATGGCTGTAAATGTGATTTGCTCTTTACATCTAAATATAAAATACTATATTAAAATGTAACATGAAATAAACTTAATTATCCCGCTAAATATATGTGTAATTTGTTCTGATCATTGTTTCCGTGTTACACTTTTCGAATTACATGTCACATTATAGTACTTTTTGCATCTAAAACTTGTTCACTGTATTCTAATTATTTTCTAAGATTTTTGTATTTAGCAATCTGAAAACTGAAGGCCATAAATATTAGGATTATGTTATTTTTAATATAACTTAAGTATTTTGTTTTAATTTAATGTAATAATTTGTAATTCTCACGCATATGTACCTTACCTGTTCACATACTTACGATTTCATTAATTTCAACGAAACAAACCTTCCTGCTGATATAAATTTAATTAAATATTCGGCGATCCTTTCGGCGATAGGCACCATTTTAATACAGTTGTCAAGCTGCAGCTGCGACGATCTCACGCCATTTCCTTCATCATTGCTTTCCATCAACTGATTTCATCACCTCTTCCATTGCCTCCCCTCCTCACAGGGAGGGCTACAAGTGAAACATTACCAAATTGCCAATTAGAAAACTGTAAACTAATCTAAATTTCTGTGTATTCATTTTATTTCTGTATTGAAATGTGCCCGAAATATCTATTTCCCCCCTTTGATATCTCAATTTAACCAAGTTTATTCTTAATTTTTATAGCTATTGACAGATAAGATTGAAGTACTCAAGTGCTCTATTTTATATAGTAATACAATAATGCAAGTTTAATATCTATCCTTTTATCACCTTTGCGAGTATAACTTTGTAATTTACTATTTAAAATGATATATGATGATCTAAATCTGTATGAGTGTAAAATTTTATCTACATCCAAGTAGAACAGACTAAGTAGGATTGTTACGACTTGAGTTTGTTTGCGATGCAATATGGAGGTTCTGATTGTCTATACAGGTCGTTTAATGAAAAACGGATATACTAAATATCCCATAAGGCAGTCCCCCAAGAATACCTTGCAACGGGATCGGCGTTAAAAGCCCACAAAGGTCCACTCGCGCTTAACGTTGCTTTGAATCGAAGACTCATCTGAAACATAAGCAGCCTCGTACAATATTGCCAGGTAAAAATGCATACCACGAACCATTCAAACAGCATTGACGTTCTGTTGTATCTTACTTAAACGAACAACTCAATATTAAATAAAAGGAAAAAAAATAAAATTTACGAAGCTACGATGCGAAATCGTATGACGTAAACAGATATCTGTTAAAATCAAATTATACAAATTTTAGAAGATAATAAACACGATCGCTATTAATATATTAATATCGAGTGTTAAATTATTTTCGTTCATATATATATATATACGTAATGCAATATTCACTGGTAAATATTTGTAACTTCTATTTCTCAGTGCAAATATATACATTATTATATTTTCATATTTCTTTACATTGATATCTAAATAAATGCAAAGTTAGACGTAAAAATAATTATCCATGATATTAAAGATCGAACAGTAAATGAGTGTTAACATATCGACTTATTTTACAGCAGTTCCTAAAACACACGTTGTCCTACCTATTATATCTCGTTACTAGATAAAAACAGATTACATTTTTTTTGTCATATGTTATTTATGGATTGAAATACGTCTACGGTGCGTGCTTCTAATTGCACGAGCAGCGCGCGAATAGACTGAAAGTATAAAATACAGGGCTCGTTTCTCATTATTTTAAGCATGTGTCGTTTTATTTCAGTCACCTACTTATTATACAATTTGTTTTCTTCTTCATTAGTACAAGACTCCTTGTTTTACTAGAACTTCAATGCCGTACCGGCACTGAAGAAGAACAACAAAAAACTGTTCGTGAACCGGTACGATCAATCATCAGATTCGTATGTTTCACAATTTCACAAACACGGAATCCCCTTGTCGCGAACGTAAACGCATTATCAATAATGATTTATGATATAATAATTTATACGAGATATTATTATTGTTCTTAAAGAACTCGCGCTTTTTTTTATTTATTTTTTTTTTTTAATCGAAAGATGAAGAAAAAGAAAAATACTATGTACCACCATTATGCTAAGTATCGATGGCCAGTGCTGAAAGAGGCGGTCACTTTTCCCAGTTCATATCGTCCACGGAAGAGAATACGATTACCACGTAATTCAGCGAGCCTCTTCTTCTAGCGTCATCGTTGATTTATTATTTATAGCTGCTGTGCACAGAGAAAGAGAAGAAATAAACCAAATCTAAGCGAAACTTGTATTCAAAAATTTACACGCAAAAAAGATTTTTACGCCCTGATACACTACATTGTTCCGAGTCGTACAAATATGTCGCTTTTTTCGTTGGTAAATGCATCGGTGAACTCCAATGTCTTATTCATCGTTCGTATTGGTTATAATTATTATAAAAATATTGCACTCTATTGACCTGCAATAGTTATCATTCATTAAATAATACAGTTCAGATTGATAGAGTACAATGTCATGCGTTTGATTAAAATTCATTTGTTTCCCTTGTATGTTTGTGTGTGTGTGTGTGTGTGTGTATATATATATATATATATATATATATATATTTTTCCAAAAGTTTTTTCATTATTATTGAGAAGGAGCGAGTGAAACGTGAAATTTTGCACCGCCTCTTTCTGCTAAAACGGATACAGGACACAGTCAATATAAGGAGACACCGCCTTATGTTAGTATGTTTTATAGTATACAACGAATCGTTAGCGGTGTCATTTCAAACATTTTGCAAAGTTACGTTAATGAATTCTCCGATGTGGAAGGACCCCGGACAGGGTTACCTAGATCTTTTCTTGTATAAAGGGATGTGCCAGGGCATGGTTCACAGTGATTCTCTTTCCCGCGTCCAACATCAACGTTCGCTCCAAGAGGTCCTTCAGTTGCCCAACCTTTCTATTTTGTTCCGGCGGCAAGGAGTTTCCACCTAACTCAGCGGTAAGGTCACGAGTGGCAGATAACGTTGACATCACGACAACTTTTTCCTAAAACCACAGATATTCAGAATTCTATAGTTCGTGACGACTAGAATTTTAACACAACAAAACGTCGATCATCGGAACACAAATTAAACATTTGTCTAAAGCATAACAAGCCCAACACTAACAATGTGTACATTGAAACACATATCTGTCGTATGTAAACAATTTTACTAATTTCGTATTAACTTACATCTCTCAAATTATTTTATTTCCTGTTGTTTTTTCATGTGATTGAAACTTTAGTTCTCTTAGACTAACTACCCAAAAAATTGTTTTATGGAACAAATTTGTCTCTTTATTTGTTTAAATAATGGACGTTTTACTGTATTAATTTATAAATATGTAAAACCATTATACACTTACCACACGGCAAAGAACAGGAATGGAAAAAAACGGTAGAAAGACAACTTACCCGCTCTGTGACCTTATCAACTTCATGATAGAGGAAATTGCAGTTTGTGTCAAAATGCTGGTCCTTGAATGTGCCTTTCCTAATCAGTTTATTAGGCATTTTGCCTTTTAGGTCCATGAAGAATTTCAACATTTGGTTGTTTGTTTTGCCCGAGAACATTATTTTTCCCGTGTACAATTCATATATGGTGCATCCCACGGACCACATGTCAATGCCGAAATCATACGGTATACCAAGAACTAGAAAATGGCAATGTTAACTTCCAGAACGTGGCAATTGTTACTACATCTCTATGACAGTGGAGATCTCCCCAATATGGGTGTCTGTCACACAGTTTCCGTTAATATTTACAACATATACTATACATGTATATGCGACTAATATAATGTAGCCGCTACAGAATTATTTATTCAGATTAGATATGTATATATTTTTGATTCCTTTACGCCAATGTTTTCCAAAAGTGGGAGGCGTAACCTCGAAGGGGGTGGGAGTGGTGGTTCATTCCAAAAGGATGAAGAAAAAAAATTTTTAATATAAGGACGTATAGATAACCTAAACATCAGATTGTATTACATTAATCATCGAAAAATAACAATATGAGTATATTAATCTTGCATAATTTTAACTTTTTCTGTGACTAATTCTATAAAGAGAACTAAATTTCTAACTAATATTCATCCATTACATCTATCAATACCATTGAGAAATTTAAATATAATCTTGATTTAGAAATCCTTTTGTTAATAAGGCGACGCCTTCCAAAAGATTTGGAAACCACTGGTTCATGCCATGTTCTTAAAGGACATAGTGCACGGCTACCAAAAGCTAGTTTAAAGTAGAAAAAGTGGTGAGTAAGTAGAGGTTAATCTCTTGAGTTTTTGAATCAACTGAATTTTAGAAATTACTCTTAGAAACATGTTATGTAAATTAATAAATAACTCAAGAGGTTGGCATAATTGTTCAGTCTAAAAAATATGTATTTATCTAGTAATGAAAATATGAAATACTTACTAATTTCGGGTGCTCGATAAAATCTTGATACTAAGTATGGTGTTATTTCATTCTCGTGAGCATGGGATGCGGAACCGAAATCGCAAAGTTTCAATACTAACTTGCTTTCACTGACTAGAATGTTATCCGGTTTGATGTCAGCATGCAGAATATTTGCACGTTTTAATAACTTGAGAGCAAGGAAAAGTTGCTGCGTATACGATCTTACCGCTTTAACATGTAAACCAACGTCTTTCCCATATTTTTTTAAAACCTAAATAAATTTATATAATAAATATAATAATTAGTAACAGATATTCGAAGTAAGACACTTAGGATAGACCATCCGAATATCTCATTTACTTTCGTTAGTAGTTAAATTGTAGGTTAGGTATAACCATGTATTTGGTTAAATAAGTTAATCAGGTCGTCTGTCTTAAGCGCCTCAGACCTGTATAATGTTATTTTTGACAGAAGTAGCGATAAAGAATACCTACCTCTCTTAAATTCATAGCTAAAGGTTCAAAAACCATACATAAATGATTTTTGTGAAAGAAATGCCTAAAAAGTCGTAAACAATGAAATCTATCTTCTGGATCTGCATCATTCAGTTTTCTAAGAATTTCTAATTCCTTAAGGCCAGTTCTATGCCTGAAATGACAAAAAAGGATACGTTTAATTAATTGTTGATTTATACTGTAGGGGAGCAAGATATATAATATAATTACATTATTTCATTATTCCTGATTATTTTTACAGCAACATCCAAATTGCCTCTAGCGCTGTCTCTAGCTCTTACAACATTACTAAATACACCTTGACCCGTGTATCCGTAAACGACATATCGCGAATCTAATGTTTCGCCCACTCGTACTCTAGAAATACAGTTAAATTTATAATTCAAATATTATACGAAAGTTATAAACAAAACATGAAAGGTAGATAATTTACCTATAATATCCTTCTGCATCATCCCAATTGTCCGTTAAACTTGGATTATCTGGTCCACCTTGTCGCTTACCTTCGACAGTGGGACTCTGCGTAAAAGAGTAACATTTTAAATAAACTTGAATAATGTATACGAACTTCAATAAAAAATAAGGGATTATAAACGTACATTGAAATCGCCAATGTTATCTGCTTCAGCGAACATATCCCATTCGTTTGACTTTTTCGCGTTAAGTTTTTCGTCTGGTTTAATTTTCTCTATTGTTTTTAAATCGTCAATTTTGTCAATATCTTCTAATGGCGCGTCTTCAAATCTAGACTTTCTTTTTTTAACTGGTTGCGGTGACTTTGGTTTTTCAGGTAATGGTGGGGTATGACTTTCTGATGTGGATTCATTATTATTAGATGGGATTTCTATTGACTTCTGCGATACGTTTGATTGGCTTTCTGAAGGTGGAGTAGCAGGAACAGTGTTTATGTCCCCAGACATGTTTGAATCTTCATTTGGACCGCCTAACCTCTACAAAAAAACAGGAACAAAAAATATAATTCTAAGAATTGTTTGATGTTTGGAATAAATGAATTCATGAGTAGCATCCATCTATACCAAAAATATAGATGTTACTTAGTAATTCACTTACTTTGAGAAGTTCTTCTCTTTGTTTTCTTCTACGTTCTATAATTGCTTCCTCATCTTCCTCTTCTTCAATATCAATGTCTTTGATATCTTCTTCACTCGAAGTTTCCGAATGTTCAACTTTGAGTCCTTCAGATAAAGAGTCTTTATATTTATCGCTACGTTCCCTCTTACCATTCTTTTCTCTATCTCTATCGTGGTCTCTAGCATGCTTGTCCCTGTCCCTTCGACTTCGAGACAACGACCTCGAGGGTTTGTACCGATCGTTGCGATCTCTATCCAGCCTACTTCTAACAGGACTACGAGATCTTCTTATACTTCTCGAGCGTTCCCGAATTCTTTCGCGATTTCGACTATCACGTCGATCTCGTAGATCATTACGATCACGACTGCTTCGACCATCTCTGTGCCGATCTCTGCTAGCATGGCGCTCTCTGCTGTCCCTTTTATCACGACTATGCCGATCTCTACTGGAGGGTCTATCACGGCTACGACGATCATGACTAGCAGGTCGATCTTTACTCGCATGACGATCTCGACTGCTTTGCCGTTCTCGGCTTCCCAATCTATCGCGACTGTCGCGTCTCGACGCAGAAACTTTATCGGACCTATCTACGGGTTTGTAATCATTACGAGATCTAGCATTATTATGATGATCTACATCTCGCCGTCGATCTTCTTCTCTACAATCGAATATTAAAATATAGTTGGACTCGCTACAACTTTACCCGCTACAATGTCTATAAGGGTCTTCTAAATTTAGCGCCTTGAAAAATGTATCATTTTCAGAAATCTTTTTAAAAGAAAATACAAGCCGAATCAAGTTCACATTTGATACTTCAGACATCCTATAATTTTTAAAAATATAAAAAATTCGAATTTTTTAAACCTCTAAAATGAGAAGATCCCTTATGTCTGAAGCCTCCATAAGTCGAACGGTTATTCATTTTCCTTCGTAAATCTTTGATAACTAAAGAAATAGTAATAATTACTGTTCGAATTTGTATAATTGACCAAAATATAATTTCTGTCTCATTTATCAATGTCAATACTGAATTTGTTTACAATATTTAAAATATTTTGTATTATTCTGTAACTTCGACTTATCGAGGTGTGACTTGTATTTCTATTAATATTTTACTTTCAACTTACCGTCTGTCTTGTTCTCTTTTACGTGATTCGTCTCTTTTAATAGAATCTTTACGCTTTTCATCTTCTGACCTTCTTTTATTATCATCTTTCCGAGGATCCTCTCTATGCCTATCGCTTGGTTTCCGTACTTGCCTGTCATCTCTCCTATTATCGTCCCTCCTTAATTCTTCTTTAGTACGTACTTTATCCTCTCGTCTCCTGTCAGAATCTCTTCGTTTGTCTTTATGGTCATCTCGACTTCTTCGATCTCTGCTCATATCGACTACAACGCGTCTTTCAGGTTTTGTTATTTTTTTACGTTCCCTACTGCCAGATTTGCTTCTAGCTCGTTTCTTAGGAGGTATATTGTCATTTTCGCTATCATCTTCAACAAGTATAACATCAGGTGTTTCCGTAGCTTTAACTTCATCTTGTTCTGGTTCTTTATCCTCCTTTTCAGATTCATCCGATAGATATTGTACTAAACATGCTTGTAACCGTTCCTGTGGAAGTATTGGACTATGATTAGAAGTCCTCTTTCTTATGTGCAAAACTTTTGAGCAAAGACATACCTTTTGTTTCATTAACTCCTCAAGATCAATATCATCTTCAATGATTGTACAGTCTACTTCATCTGAATCTAAATCTATTAATTTTTCATCTTCACTTTCTTCTGTAGAAACCACTTCTAGTAACGAATTTTTCACTTTGCCATTAACACCAATATCTTTTTGAATTGTTCTAGGTGGTTTTTCTTCCAAAGATCCATTTTCGACCTCTTTTTCCTTTTTAGGTCGCTTATGTTTCTTATGTCTTTTCCTAAAATATTAAATTTAATGATATTTTCAGTAATTAAGTCTGGACATTAAATACGAATAAAATATATATTGGACATACCGTTCTTGTCGATCAATTTTTCCATCTTCTCTTTCAATTATTTTGTCTTTCTTATGCTTGTGATGCTTATGCTTTCTTTTCTTTTTCTTTCTTTGGTCGTTCAACATGTCAGATTCAGAATCTATACCAACAATATCTCTCTTAGACTCTAAACATTCTAGATCTGACGTACTGAAACATAATTTAAAAATTAATTGATTAAAGAAGATGATAAGAGATATATGATGTTCATTTACTCAGTTCATTAACATATTACAGTCAAATAGGACCTTCAATCTCATAAAGTAAGTCATACTTTACGAACTACAATTATACAATTTCCAAAAGCATAGATTAATATAACTAATTTCCTTTTCATTTACAATTACTTTAAATGTGATCCACGTGATATAATAATTACCCAGACACAATCCAGTAGAATTGAGCGGGATCTATTGCGAAATACTAATGTTGTAAGACACAAAAATTAGGTTACTTTTTCTTAATGAATCCACACTAAAAATCGTAGTAGAAAAATACCATTTGTCGAGTAATTCACTCAATCATCTTACGTAATACAAAAAGAAAAAAGATTTTTTAAATGTGTACGAAATTTATTCCGAAAATAAACAGAAGATCACGTAAGTATATGCGATGTAAACAGACTACCTTACGTATCTTTTTGTACACTGAAAGCGACGATTTCGTAACCAATGTAATTATGCTTGTTGAAATTTACGACTTACCCCATGCTTATACTTGGTAAATTATTGTTAAGAAAAAAACTACAGAATCACTGCACAAAACAACTACACGTATATATGAACTCTTTAATGGGCCGCCATCTTGTATGCTCGATCGTGTTATTTCGAGATATCACGGTAAGGCTTCGAACTATCGATAACAAAGGGTTGCTTCCGGTTTCTGTATTCGCGTGTGTTGTAAAAGTATATTTATGATATAAAACTTTTTCTAAGTTTAACAATTTTTAACAATTTTGACAATCTACAAACATGTACTTACAACTAGTGAGTGGAAGAATGACATTTAACATTCAACGATACTTTTTTATTGAAAGTTTACAGCAAATTTTACACAAATAAATGAATTTCCTCAAACAAAGACATAGAAATTAGTAATGTACTCAACAAGACGAATCTAACGACATATAACACGTCAAAATCGGTGAACGGGCCGTTTGCTAGAAATATGCCATTTTTTTTTAAAACAAACAGCGATTATTATTAATATTTAAGGGAAGTATACGTGATCGCGACGAAAGTTCGTTTGAATAATCGTTCGTGTCCGCCACAGTCTTTAACAATCTTGGATGATCCTTCGGTCGGTACAGATCCCGCGATCACGAGTGCGCGTCTCATGTCCGTCATATTTATTTCTGTCTAATTACTCATTTTCTTGATTATCGATAATCGTAGCTAGGTATTGCATCGAACGAAGTCATTGCTTCCGCCGTGGGAACCTTTGTTTTAAGTCACGTCGCTAGAATATGAGTTAGGGTAAATTGTAATAAGCAATACTGGAACAAAAAAAGTGCAAGTAGTTCGACAGGACTATCACTCAAATAAAGGAAATCAAATCAATTAGTTCGGCATATTCACCGCTAGATGGCTATTTATTTGAGCGAAAATAGCGGGAACCCATAAGAGAAACTGTGACAATTTAAAATTTATTCTTCATTCTTAAATCACATAGTATTATTTATTTATGGAAGTATTTATACAATTTAATACGTTTAAATAATTTCATCGGTGTATTTTTAATAATGAAATCATTTAAAAACATTAAATAGTGAATGTAAAGCAAATAGATAATTTCTACATATTTAAAAGGAAGGTATGGTATTTTTCATATTACATACTCATATATTAGAATTAAATTTTTATTTGGCTTGAGATACTTCCCACGTTTATATTATTTTAAGGATAAAGATTATTTTATATAAAACAGTGAGATGAACATCTGTGGATACACTTATTTTTCATGAATACACGTGTTGCACTGCGATAGTAAGCAAATATTATTAAATGGGGTAAAAAGAAACATTGTATATATAAAGTGCAAAATAAATTATTTGAACAATTATCGTAAAATGTATAGTATATTAGATATGGAGCTATAGTGCTTCTGCATCACTATTACTGAGAGCAACGACGGTGAAGCACATTTCTTCCGGATCACGAGCCATATATTCCTTACAAACACGTGCAGCATCTTCTAATAATCTCTCGGGACAAGTTGAGCCATGATTAATAGGTGCAGGTTTACGTCCATCTAATAAAATATTGTTACGCGACAAGTACTTTTTATACTAAAATTATTATATCAACCGTTATTAACAATAATTTAATTATTATTCTTCTAATATTATTTATTTCAAAACATCTACTAAAGTTACCAATGTAAAAATATTTACCCAATTCATATAACACTCCATTTTTGTGTATAAATGCCACAAAGTGATGGTACACAGGTGTCTCCACACTTGGTGCCTACAAAACATATGTGGTAACGTTTTTTTTTATATAACAAATTACATAGCAAGCATAAGTATCATACCTCTGTCTGCCCTTCTTGTGCCAATTCTTTATGCGTACCACTAATTTCATATGAAGACATTAAAACTTCACCACACTCCGCAAAAGAAAGATTTTTTGATTGCTCTAAGAAAGTTTTTAGAAAACCATCCTGAAGATTTATGCTGCAAAAATGGAAAAGCATAAACTATAGTATTTTACTTAAAGTAAATGTAATTTTGTATTTTCAATCATCAGTTTACCTGTCTAGATTATTTGCAACACTATGTATTAATGCAATTGTTCCACAAGCATTATGAATACATTGTTTCATGTGAAAAACATCTGGATCTTTTGGTTCTGAAGGAATTTTATCACTTTCTTTAACATCTTCTTCTACATCTTCTAGTTTATCATCCTTTTAGAAACATAAAAACATAATGCATATTAATATATGGTGTTTTAAACAAATATAATTATATAGTTTTAATTTTAAACCTTTTTAGATAAAGGATAAAGTAATATAACTGCCAGAACTGGTTTGGGTACAAGTGCTAATAAGTCTGGTTCCAACCCATAGACATCAATAATGCTCCATTCTTTTGGTACACCTAGTTTATGCAAGAACTGTAAACAAATAAACGATCTATAATTCGGCTTAGTAACCAACAAATTATTAACGAATCCGTTTTAACAGAAAAGAAAATTATTCTATTTATGTAAAAATATCTTATGATTCTAAAAATATATATTCACGATACATATGAAGGACACATCGAAGAGTAGAATCAACAATTGAAAGTCATGGTCATTTACCTTTGTCATAACCTAAAACAAAATAGAAATAATTAAGTAATATAACAAAACCTGTGTATTTTTAATTTAGAAATATAAATTCTTACATCTGGATTTGATTCCAAAGGTATCCAGGTAGTCATTATGTACTTTCGTATCTATTGGGTTTGTCGGCAAATTGAGCGGTTTACAAACAGTTTACAAACTAAAGGGTGCGCAGGAGACCCAGCAAAACTCCGAGTTGATTTCAGCGACAGTTGCGGAAAAAGTAGGAAGCTCTAGGACAAAGATAGATAGATCCTTGTCTCTCCAATGATGCTGTGACAGAGAAGAAGATACAACAATCGCAGTAGAGACAAAGACAGAATGATGCCAAACGTTTGTAATTTTCCAAACAGTTATTGTAATTTTATGAGGCGAGGAAGCGACCTTTCCGGTAGTTTTTTTTTAAAACTGTTCCTTATAAAATTCCGCTGCGGGGGATAGTTACACATTTTGCAGTTCGCTTTTGAAACGTGGTAAAAATACGTTTAAAGACAAGACATTTAGTGTGGGTCTTTTTTCAAAAATCTTCAACTATCCTCCGCAGCAGCATTGTACAAGGAACAGTTTAAAGAAAAAGTCAGCCAAAAAGGTTGCTTCCTCGCCTCATAAAATTACATTGGTGTTGTCGCTACGATTGAGACGATTCGTATGCCAACATGGCTGCCTCCATATCGCGCTTTCCACCGTAGTGCTGTTGTCGTCTTCCTTTCTGTTACCGTGTCGACCATCTAAACACGCTTTTCGACTTGGTTCGCAGGTATCCTAGTCGGCTGGGTTGTTTCGCGCACGCGCAGCGAACATGGCATCAATGAAGTATACGCACGACTAAAAAGGTGTGTCTTAATTACCCCCGTATAATGTTACAAATATAATCATTATTTATGGACAAATGTAGGACTGTAAATGTAGGAATGTGATATATTAATGATTTCGCGCTCATAGTCACAATAGCTATAGCACCCCACACCTGAAACCCTGGATACGACACTGTCTCTCTCTCTCTCTCTCTCTCCAAAAAAAGGGCTGACAAGGGAACGGGCCCAGATATGACGCTAATTTTTTGATGAGCCTTTGCACAGGGGAAAAGTGAAGCGAATCATATTCAGTTTTGGGGGTAGACCTTTTATAGTTTACGTCGTAAACTTTACGAGATATTCAACATTGGATTATTATTGGTGCCTAGCGCGAGTTAGAGTTCCGTTGAAACGTTCTTACACTATTTCTTTTTTCACATTGTTTTAAAAATACATTCGTTAAATAGGACTTATTTATAACTAATGTTCTGTTACGAGCCCCAATAGTTTGTAAGATAATTGTATCTACTTTCTTCGTAAGGAGGGCGCGAAGAGAGCAGGAGACATACCGTGTTTGAGGTTAATATCGTAAAGAGATCGAAAGGCTCTCGCGGTTTCACTGAACGGATAGGAAACCCAAAAGATCGGGATCCTATCCCAGGCCCACGGGTGAGGTTGCCGTAAATGGCATCCTAGGCCCGGTAGACCAAAGGGGGAAAACGTGAGCGTCTTCCCAAAACTTATGGTCCACCAGCGCGGAGGCCGTCAGGCTGACAATGAGCGAAGCCGCGAGCAGGGCAATAAAACCACAGAGTGGGGAGGATTAACACGGATCCGAGGCTGTCCGTGTCGAAAATCATTTGGGCATTCGGTTTTGAGCTCTTGCCTCGGCAACAATGATATTTTCTCGTGTTCTCCTCTCGCGCTCCTTTCCTGAGTGTGTCCTAAATATGTTCGGATATATTTTTTAAAACAAACAATTTCCATTTTGAATGTATGATGTACATGAACTTGGGTGATAATTTTCGAAAAAGCAGTGGAAACAAAAATTTTAATCACCATGTACATCGAATGAATGCTTTAGATTCACAACTGCAAAATTATTTATTTAATTCTTCTACTAGGAATACCGCTTGATTTACATTAATGATATGTACTCGATTTTTGGATAGCTATGATGCCTACCAAGCATATCTATGTAGAATAGAGATGAATATATTGAAATTCATTATACAAATAGAGACAAGTACAGCAATGTCTTGAAATAAGTAACTCGATCGGGACCGGCGATCAGTCTTCTCGATTTCATAACGACAACACCAATGTAATTTTATGAGGCGAGGAAAAGACCCTTCCGGCTGATTTTTTTTAAACTGTTCCTTATAAAATTCCGCTGCGGGGGATAGTTACACATTTTGCAAATTCGCTTTTGAAACATGCTAAAAATACGTTCAAAGGCAGAAAATTTTTTTTCTTTCAATTTTTTCCAAAAAACGCTTGACGAGACGATAGATTTACTTTCCCTGATTACGAAATGCATAATTATTATATGTTTTTTTCATTATTGTGCTTGAAAAACGGGAAAATCTATCTAGTAGTTCACCTACTTTCCGTTGGTGGCGCCAGTTTGTCTCCTGCGCACCTGTTCAACAAGAGTTTAAAAAAAAACGATTGTCAATTACAGATTATTACGGTTTACAACAATACAGTTATCGAAAGATCTTTATCTTCAAAATTTAATTATTATTTGTACTTGAATTGCACCACGACAAGCTTGCCGAATGTTATTCCCGGTTATTCTCTCGAGCTTTGAGCCATTGATAGAACGTTATTGGCTACTGTCAACATGTTTTAAACAAGCGAAATAATTGATAACGAAATTATCAGTTTGTTTTTATGGAATATTTGATATGTTTTACATTTAACTCAGCGTAGTTACTCTTATTCGTTCTTTATCCGTTGTAACAGTTATTTATAGTCTTTGTTTGAAAAAGTCTGGGAAAGTACCAAATATTTCTTTTACCTTACGTATAATAATAAATTAAAACATAGTAAAGGATTTATAAAATAATTAATTAACTATATGATATAATTATATTAACTTTACCATTTACTTATGAATAATCTTTCCAATTAAACAGCGTATGTATATATACTTAAAATTTTCTTTTAAATTAAACAACCAATAATAAAGGAACATATTAACAATATTTGTCTAATTTAATTTAATATCAAACGATGTAACAAAGTTATAGACTAATTTTTGTATTGTTAAATAATAAAAGAATAACTACTCTTATTAGTTATACGTACAAAATATTTTCAGTAAATACTGGACATATAATGATTCTACACACTTATATTCTACTGATTCTTTGCATACTGTGTGCATCAGTAGAAAAGCAATATATCGTAATAAAATCAGAAGATAGTCGTGAATTAGTCTGGACCCGAGAAGCAAAGACATCTAGATATTTACCATCATGGGATAGTTTAGACAGCCGACCACTTCCAACTTGGTATGACAATGCAAAATTTGGCATTTTTATTCATTGGGGTGTCTTTAGTGTCCCTAGTTTTGGTTCAGAATGGTTTTGGAATAATTGGAAAGGTAACTTATTTTCTTATTTATTAATTTGTATTTTATAATTATAATAAGACTTGTCTTTTTTTTTTAAATTAATGCAATTTAATATACTGCCAGACAAAAGAAATCTGAATTTATCATTTTTAGAGGAAAAAGGTAGTACCAAATATCATGATTTTATGAAACAAAGATATCCACCACAGTTTACGTATCAGGATTTTGCTCATGAATTTACTGCTGAATTTTTCAATGCCACCAAGTGGAGTGAATTATTTCAAGCTTCAGGTGCAAAGTACATTGTATTAACAAGTAAACATCATGAAGGATACACACTATGGCCTTCAAAATATTCCTTCAGCTGGAACTCCATGGATATAGGACCACAAAAAGATCTTATAGGTATTAATCATTTTTAAGTTTTGTGTTTACTATTGTTGACAATTAGTTTCATGTTAATTACTAATAATTTTTAAATCAGGTGAATTGGCAATGGCAATTAGAAGTTCAACTGATTTGAGATTTGGTCTCTATCATTCATTGTATGAATGGTATAATCCTCTTTACTTGTTTGATAAAGAAAATAATTTTACAACAGAGATTTTTGTTAAGCAAAAAATAATTCCTGAATTACACGAGTTGATAAATAAGTATAAACCAGAAATTATATGGTCAGATGGTGATTGGGAAGCATCAGATAATTACTGGAAATCAAAAGAATTTTTATCTTGGTTGTACAACGAAAGTCCAGTAAAGGATACAATTGTTGTTAATGACAGATGGGGTAGAGATATACCATGTCATCATGGTGATTTTTATACATGTACCGATCGTTATAATCCCGGTAAACATTACAATTTCATATCAATGCAATAATCAAAGTTTATAACTTCATCCATTTTTTACATAAAATTATTAGGAATACTACAACCGCATAAATGGGAAAATTGTATGACTATCGATAGAAAATCATGGGGATTTCGTAGAAATGCTGTTTTGTCAGAATACTTCACTTTACCAGAATTGGTAAAAGAGTTAGTAATTACAGTAAGTTGTGGAGGAAATTTATTAATGAATGTTGGACCAACCAAGGATGGTATTATTTCTCCAATATTTGAAGAAAGACTCCGTGGAATGGGTATGATTTTAATACCTACATTCTATTTAGAGGATAGTATATTAAAATGTTGTTTATATTCAGATCAGAACGCAAAATTTAAATTATTCAAAAATAGTTCAATAAAGTGTAATAAGAAAATAATTTTGTAATAGGTGATTGGCTAGCAATAAATGGAGAAGCTATTTACGATACTAAACCTTGGATATGGCAAAATGATACTCTAACTGGGAGCGTTTGGTATACACAAAGCAAAAACCAGAAACAAATTTATGCGCTAATTCTTAGTTGGCCAGACAATGGAAAATTATACTTAGGATCGCTTAAAGTACCTAGTGACACACAGATTTTCTTGCTTGGATGTGCACAACCAATTTTGGTATGTTACATAATAAACTATGAATTTAAAATTACTCCAATTGACATGATTTGTAACTAATATGGAATGATAAATTTTAGTGGGTAAATGAAGGTGAACATGTTACTATAGCCTTACCACCACAATTCCATAAAGGACAACCAGCTTGGGTATTAAAAATAAAACAGAAGTAATATATAATGTCTTATACATGTATGAAAAAAAAGTAATGATTTTTAAAATGCCTTTATTTTATTACAAATAATATATTTTATATGGATCATAAAAGAACTTATATAAATTATGCAGTATTATTTGTCCCCTTTTGTGATTTATAAATGAATTAAAAAATTATACATTGCAAAAATGTAATATTAATTATGATATTTATTTAAATATCATTGCATTATGTAATAGAAAATCGAAACTCTGCTGACATTTACTTATCAGTAGATTGAATGTAGAGTGTTATCTGCTGAAATATTCAATACAGATCTTTGCCAAATCCAATTCGTAAATGCTGCTCCCGAACGCTGTTACCTAGGCTACTTTTGTTATATATATTATATAATATGCATATTTATTGAAGTTGAGCCACTTCATATAAATAAGCTCCAAGTAATTTAGTCTAAAACAAAAGTAATATATACTTATTGAATTTTAGTAAAATAATTATAACAGAGTTAGACATTAATAGTGCTATTATAAATTTAGTCAGAAGATTTATCACTATTAATGTTTAATCAATTGCTAAAATTAATCGTTCACGACGATTGACTATTAAATTAATAAATTATTTCTCTGGCATTGCATTATAATTAATGTATAATAAATCATGACATTGATGTAATTTTTTGTCATTCAATTATTAGTCGCTTGCGACTATCATGTATTACATTAATAGTTATTCTTCAATGCTATTACACCACTGAATAGTCAAGTGCCGTGAGCGATTAACGCGATCATCTATTTCAATTGTAATTGTCATTTCTTACCAACATTAAATTGTCCTCAAGACTCTAACAGACTATATTGTTTAAACAAAAAGTACTTACACCTTCGATATAATTTCGGATGTTTAACTTTTCATTTTGAGAATGTGCTCCATCATCACCAGCACCAACTGGTAAAAGTAATACATTTTTGCCTGTTACTTCTTGGAATGTTAAAGTAACTGGAATCGAACCACCTTCACGCGATAAATCAGGCTCCACTTTATAAACATGTTTGGTTGCTTTTCGACCAGCTATGTAATGTGGATGATTGGGATCTTCAGTCCAAGGTTTTCCTCCATGACCCAGATTAACATTCATTATATTTGGACTACCTCTAGCAGCCCATTTCTTCTTTAAATATGCTGTTACTTTCTCAACAGTATCATCAGGAGTCATGTTTGGTACAATCCTAATTGAAAATTTGCCAATAACTTTTCTTGGAATAACGGTCTTTGCACCTGGTTCACTAAATGCACCCTCTATACCATGAAGTGATAAACTGGGTTGTCTCCATCGATGCATTAACAATTGAATCTGAAAAAATAATAAAACGCATTAATACTTATACTAATAAAACAATTTAATGTCATATCATAAACACATACTTTGTCTTCATTGTGAGCCAATCTACCAGCTCCAACGGACTTCTTAAATTCGGGTACATCAAATTCTATTGTTTTATAGGATGCCAATTCTTCTTTTGTAATTTCAGCAACATTCTCATAAATACCATCAATTAAAATTTTTCCATTAACATCAACCAATGTATCTAACAAATAAATCAAGTCTGCCATTGCTTCATACACAGTTCCACCAAATGTACCACTGTGTAGATCTTTAGCAGCACAAGTTACTTCCACTTGGAAGTAACAGATACCTCTTAAGCCATATGTGATACAGGGCTTAGTGGTACCCAACCAATAATTATCAGATATACACACATAATCAACACCTTGCAAAAATGTATCTTTACGTGCCCAAAGAAGATCATCTAAACCTTCACTACCACTTTCTTCCATACCTTCAAAAACAAACTGTAATAAAAAAAAATAATTAATAGAAAGAAGGTAAAAAAGGAAAGTCAATCAAATTTGAATAATTACTTTAAGATTGACTGGAATATCAAGCCCAATAGCTTTGTAAGCTTGCAGTGCATGTATCCAACAAAGTACAGGACCTTTATCATCTGTACTTCCACGTCCAAATAATTTTTCATCTTTCTCTACAAGAGTAAATGGTTCTGTGTCCCAACCATCTTCTTTTAATGCAGGTTGAACATCTAAATGCCCGTATATAAGAACTGTTTTTTTCTTTGAATCAGATCCAAGAGTTCCTAACAAAGCAGGAGGAAGGGGAATTTCACTTTTGTCTGGAAGTGTTTGTTTCCCTAATTCTACTAACTCTGTAGTAGCTCCAAGATCCTTTAATCTAATTTCTGCCCATTTCATCATTCGAACTATTTCATTTCTATGATCAGGCCATGCAGAAACAGATTTTATAGCTACTGCCTCTCGTAAATTATTAATATATTCTGCTTTATGCTTATCAATGTAACTAAAAATTAAGTAATAATTATTTTAGAATAAAATTAATAATGTTATAAATGCATTAAAATGAAATAAAATTTTGTATGTATAAAGTAACTGAATATTGTTGAAATACCTGAACAAATTTTTCAATGGTGCTGGAATTTCAGAAGCCATTTTTTTATTTTTACTTAAGTCAGACAGTATTCCCAAAGGTAATCAACAGACTAAAGATATATTCTGTGAACACATGTAATAAATTAATCAGTTTTATCTTGTTTTATCTTGTTTTATCAAGTACAGAATGTTTTTTCAAGTAGTGACACATATATTTTGAGTTTGATCAAAAATGTTTTAGAATATGATATAGTAATACGTGGAATATATATATATATATATATGATACATAAAACAATTGGATTACATGATATATTATAAAATAACCAATCAATTTTCCTTGAAGTGGTATTAAACTTATAATGAATTATTATTAACTTAATTTTATTTGATAATTAAGCATCATTACGATTTCCATGGAATCACTATTTGACTGTGCTTTTGTTTAATATAATTTATCAGAAAAATAATACCAGAAACTACAATTTTCTATCACATTTAGTTTAGAAGTTATGTAGATGCCTTGAAAGTTTGATAACATCATATTTATAATGAATATAATTTATAAACTAAATGTAATTGAGAACTGTAGTTTGCAGAATTGTTTTTCTGATAAATTAGATTAAATAAAAACACGGTCAAATGCATTGAAACTTATTCATATACATTCACTGGGTGGCTATGATGATATGATTATTCTTTGAAAGATTTGGGTTTGGGTTTAACTAAAATTAAGAAACAATGTTAATTGTTGAAATGAAGAATAAAGTTATTGAAATATCAACCTCCTAATTCTGATATCGTACGGTCCTGAACGAAAAGTCTAGTTCTATCCTTGTCTAAAAAGGCGTCAGATTACTAAAATCGATTTCCGATCGATTTTACGACCTCACAAGATCCCTACCAGTGACTAATACTATCAAATACCACATGATAAATAGACTATGATAAATAGACTGCGGAAATTTATGCACGATAAATATATAACACGCATATAACATTCATGCACGAAAAATATGGAAAACATGCAAGATATATATAAAATGTAGTATAATAAGGAATATATTAGTATGTTACAGAATATCCGCTATATACGCATATATAAAATACTTTTCACAATTATTCCGATACATTATAGTTCGCGTGACAATAAATTACAAACATGTTCTCCGAATTTTTCTGACATAATTGATCTACATATACGCGGAGAATGGCTCTTTTACGTCACACGAAGTAACCGGTGCGTATTTTAATTTACTCCAATAAAATACTTGAAATCTTCGATCATGTAGAATATCCTACATTTCTTTCTAAGGTAGTATTTAAAATTTTTTAATTTTTTCACCGCGATCACCAGGTATATTTTTTAAATGTATTATACTATACATATGTATTCCGATTGAATTTTGCGATAAAAGCTTCTATCATCGTTATCATTATTATCGTTGTCATTAATAAGAAAATTGGAATCGTTTTTGATCCAACTTAGTATTAATGCTTTTCTACTTTTTCTAACTTTTGGCATTTTTAAAAAAACCAAGAGACTTACTTTTCCACGAAGTGAAGTATTCGAATTTCAAACACAAACTGTCACATCTAACGCTCGATTAGCAATTCGAGGTTACAGAAATTCATATGGCCTGTATTTATATGAACAGTATACAACGATACTTATGATACGAAAGTTTGCTGATAGACGAAAGTATGTAATTTGTCGAAAATAGATATTTCACATAAGCACGGTAAATAACATACTCAAAACATATTATTGTATGTTTTTAAACAGAAATCACGGTATAATCTTTCTTACACCGTGATACAAATATACAAAGCATATGTATTATGCAAAAAATGTATTTTTGTAGTACTCTAACAAAAAAACAAATTTCTGTCCAGGCCCCATTCTTTTAACTGTTTCCTATAAAAATATGCATTTCCATAAACTTCCGCAATCTAATGATAATTCTTGCTTTATCTAAAGTAGAGAGATAAAATCATACTTACTAACCATAGTACACATACACATTCTCCTTTATGTTATCACTGGTTATCACCAAAATGTTACAAAGTCAGAACCAAAACCATAAAACCGACTAAGACAACCTACATAGAAAAAAATAATAAACCGGATTAGCTCTGCATTATACCACGTGCGGCGCTGTAATGTTCCAATAAAAATCCAAAGAGATATTCATCTATGATAATTAATCTTTATAAAACAACCCGTATCTGAAAAAAATTGTTTTAAATACAACCAAGTATATTTCGTAAATGTCAAAATTATTTTCACGTCCCGATGCTGTTCAATTTTAAACAAAATGTGTATTTTACAAAGTATTATAATACACAATGTGCTATTAAACAATTACAATGATGTATAACTCTATCTTGAATAGGTTCAGTCAGGTTCAGTCGAATATTATTTGTGTTTAATTTAGTTAGTGATAATTAAAAGTAACAAGTAGAGGGGAAAAATAAAAATAATAGTAACAAAAATCGTCCAATCAGGCATGCATACGATGAACGTGTCATATTATTTATAAAGCAAGCAAAAGTGAATTATTTTAAAGGAGAAGAAATACTACACGTATCGTCTACTACATCGTCAACATATGAGTCAGAATTCATCTTAATCTGTTCTACGTGTAATATGGGAGTTTGTAAATAATAAGAAGATTATTTTTTTCTTGCTACATTTTGTATAATTTTATGAAATGTCTCGTCATCGAGACGTACGGTCTATGAATTACTCTGAAGGTATACAATACATGCATTTGTATAACAAATTAAATGTTCTATTTTACTTCTTGACATAATAAACATTTTACAGAGTATGAAGGTTATGATGATGTCTATGGGCATTCTGTGGAAGATGATTTCTGTGTATCTCCCAGTGGTAAGTTTTGTTTAATCTGTAACATATTGTACAATTCTGTGGTGATCAAACTGTAGTATTACATTTTATGGATAGAGATAAGTAAAAAATGTTATATGTATGTGGGTTCATAAAAGCTTTATTAACAAGTTGTACTAAAAATATAAAGTATAATCTTATGTTAACAAAATGTCACAGACTTCCAAATATTGTTACTATAGCATACGATAAAAATAGATGAACAATATTTATATAATCTTTTTTATAAGTTGCATTTAACCTTGTAACTATGGTATTCTTTAATTAAAAAGTAGTATAAACAGAGATTAAAAGCAAGAATAACACTCATAACTTTTATTAAATATTGTCTTTCTTTTAAACTATTCATTATTAGTTTCTTAGATACAAATAATTCTTACTTTGGTTGTGATCATGCTTACACAAGTTGTAAAATGTTATTTACAGTGGAGCAATTCTTATTTGATCGAAGCAAGCAACAAAATATGGCATCCTTTATTACGGAGCCAGATATAGAAGAAGATAACGAGGATGGCATAGAACCTACAACACCTAACGAAGAAGACATAATACTCACAGAATTAGAAAAGACTAAGCTTATATCATGTATGGAATCTATCAAGAACATTATAGGAGATGCAGTATCTGACACTGAAATAAAGAAGAAAATTATTCAGTCAAATTTTAATGCAGAAGTAGCACTTGATTTACTTTTAAAAGATTCTTCCCCAAAAAATGGTATATACATTATTATATATTTTCTTATAGTTTGTGTATTACATTGTGCAATTGTATTTTTAGAATCACTTGCAATCAACGAGGATAATGCAGAACACTATCCAGGTATGTTATTCACTCACATTATCTAAGAGTTTGAGATATAAAGTAATACGTATATTTTTTAATGGCAAATAATAATAAATTTTATAGTAAAATGATTTATATTTTAGTAGATGATTATTTCCTGACCTACAATTTTTTCTGTTTCATGTGCTGTCCATAAATCCATCGGTAAGGTAAGATGTTGCATCTACTAAGCCTCAATCTAGTTCATTTATTATACCTAAAATATCATTTAAAAGACAAAATAATATTGAAAACACGACTTTGAATGCATCTATCGCGGAGAATGTAGACAGTCTTAAAAATTTAACTCTTAGTAGCCCTCCCTTTTCCTCTTTATCTGAATTAATAACTAATCACGCTAAGTCAATATCACCAAAAACTGTGAAGGAATCTCAAACAAATTCAAGTACAGTACTATTTAAAACATTAGCAGATTTAACAGCACATCATTTACAAAAGTCCAGTAACTTAATTAATACTACAAATTCTAATGAAACAAATTTTGTCATACCAAAACTGTCGATTAAAAAGGATAGATGTAATGATTTAACTAATACACAACTAGATGTGTGTACTGTTGAAAAAGATGTAAGTGTAATATCAGAATCATTCGATGATGAGGAGAAAGATTATTCTATGAGCTCACTTGAAAAGAGCATATCCAACATTTTTGCTTTTTCTGCAAACTGTCCCAACAGTACAAATAATTTACATAATTTAGAAAGAAAAGAAGATTCACTATTAAATGTAAGTGGTACTCGAACTCCATCACCAGATGATTGGATGATTGATTTGAGTTCTGCTTTGAAAGAAGCTACATTTTTAGTTCCAAATAACTCTAATCACACAAGGTCGAAAGTATTAAAGAGTATTGATAATATCATTCCTGATTCAAAGTTGCACACATTTAATCAAAATTCTGAAATTCCGTGTGTTATTCTTCCTACAACATTAAATTTAAGTTCTTTGAGATATGCTAAACTTCCATATACGACAAAAAATGTATCTCTATTTGCTAGAACATTATGTAGAACATGGAAATTGAAAAAACCAATTCTTAAATCTCAAAAACAACAACATCAAGCTATAAAACGATTTGATTTTTCAGCTCCCTATACACGTAATAAACAAAATCCCTAGAAATATTTAAATTAAATTAGGTACAATGTATTGTAACACTTCACAATAATTTTTATGAATGTAATTTTTAATGCATAAATACAAGAGAAAATCAAATTTATATTAAACGTATAAGACGATGTTAAATGACGTTAGAAAATTACTATTTTGTTTATGTAATTTTATTTATAGTGGTATATTATTTCTATGTAGAAATGGTATGAATTCTCAGGGAATTTAACAAAATTGCTAATAAATTTTCTATTAGGTAAAAAGTTGTCATCCAAATCTCCATTTCAAGTTACAACACCTTCCAATGTGAAAATTATTCCTGCTGGAAAACGACCTGTTGTAAAGGGTTTCAATTTAAGTGGAATAGAGAATACAGATCAGTTGAATTCTCACATTGAAAGTCCCCGTTCTCAAAGTCCATTTTCTGGTTATAACAGTCCAGAAATAAAAAGAAAAGAACATATTGCACCAAAGGAAAAAAAAGTAATTTCTTCAACTACAAACAGCCCACAATGTCAGTCCCCAGTCTTAGGGCACGTGACGCCCGACTTAGATCCTAAAACGAAGCTTAGCGAAGAAAAGGTCGATGCTTTGAAAATATATAAAAGTAAAAGAGGGGATAGCAAAGAACAATTACATCTTGTAGTGGTTGGACATGTAGATGCAGGTAAAAGTACTTTACTAGGACGACTTCTGTGCGACTTAGGACAAGTTCCATCAAGATTGATTCATAAATATCAACAAGAAAGTAAAAAGATAGGAAAGCAATCATTTGCATATGCATGGGTTCTTGACGAGACAGGGGAAGAACGGTGCGTAGAACTTTTAATACAATAACTTTACTTAATAAGTAATGTTAAAGTTATTTCTTACTTCTTTTCTATAGAGAACGTGGGATAACAATGGATATTGGTCATTCCAAATTTGAAACAGAAACAAAATGTATTACTTTATTAGATGCACCTGGACATAAGGACTTCATACCAAACATGATTACTGGTGCCACTCAGGCAGATGTGGCTTTATTAGTAGTAGATGCAACAATAGGAGAATTTGAAACTGGATTTGATAGTGGAGGTCAAACTAGAGAACATGCACTATTATTACGTTCATTAGGTACTGTTTTATGGTATATAACATATATGTAATCTGTATAATGCTTAAAAGTCATTTTTCAGGTGTATCACAGTTAGCAGTGGTAGTAAACAAACTAGATACGGTGGACTGGTCGAAAGATAGATTTAACGAAATAGTTGACAAATTGAGTGTATTTTTGAAGCAAGTTGGATTTAAAGATAACGTTACTTTTGTCCCCTGTAGTGGTCTATCTGGTGAAAATATTGTATCAAAACCTAAAGAGTCTTTATCTAATTGGTATAATTATCACTTTGAAATTCCAGTTTATTTAAACAATTGTAATAAGATGCTTATCAATTGCTTATCAATATCTTTTAATGACAGGTATACGGGACCAACATTAGTCAGTGTTATTGACAACTTTAAGTGTCCTGATCGTCCTATAAATAAACCATTCCGGTTTTCAGTTAATGACATATTTAAAGGCACTGGATCTGGATTCTGTGTTTTTGGACATGTAGAAACAGGCATGGTGTCTTTGGGTGATAAAGTTTTAGTGTCGCCAAGATGTGAAAGTGCAGTAATTAAAGGTATGTTAATTTAAAATTTTAATATTTTGTTTCTATATTTTGTAAGGTGTCCAAACACCTATAATACACTTATAAATGTATAAAAATACATTTTAGGTCTACAAGTAGATGAGGTGTCTATAACAAATGCATTTGCTGGGGATCATGTTGCTTTAACATTATCAGGAATTGACCAACAGAATGTTGGAATTGGAGACATTATATGCAACGTCCAACACCCAGTTCCTATAACAACATCTTTCCAAGCACATGTAGTCATTTTTGCAGTTAAAATTCCTGTAGTGAAAGGTCTTCCAGTAATAATGCATCAACAATCTCTAGTGCAACCTGCCGTGATTACAAAATTAGTAGCTCAACTTCACAGAACTACCGGTGAAATAATCAAAAAGAAGCCACGCTGTTTACCAAAAAATTCAAGTGCTATTGTCGAAATTACAACGCAAAATGCAGTCTGTATGGAGTTATACAAAGATATCAAACAATTAGGTCGAGTTATGCTGCGCGTAGAAGGAACAACTATCGCTGCTGGACTCATTACGAAAATCAAATAATAATACAATATTTGTATTTGTTTCGCATATTCGGAGTCGTAATTATAGAGGAAATTTTTGTCATTCATTTAGAACTATGTAACTATTGTATTTACATATTGATGAAACAATACAAAAGTTAACAAATGTATCATGTTCTTGTTAATTTATATTAATGTATATGTAACATACAAGTTTATTTGCTACAAAGCGCTTAGTTGTTTTCTTAGCATATAATGTGTAACATATTTATAATGATTTGTAACATTTTTAACGTAAAATTAATGTTTAATAAAATCGTTCTTTGAAAATCAGTTGCTTACTTATTTATTGTGTTTCTATGTATTCTCTTTTTATGGGACAACACAGCATAATTATAATATTCATATAAAAATATTAAATGTGAACATTTTAATGGAGAATATCTCATGTTTTACCTTATCTAGCACAACTTTTACATCCAAATGGAACATCCACTGTATTTCCCATGTTAGGTCTTCCTAATCTACGCATTGGTGGACGTGGTGGCCTACATGTAAACATAAATTATTATTATAGTTAGTAAACTATATTAAAAATTAGTTATTATCAATTATTATAGATGATTAACGATTATTCATTGTAATCGTCAATCGTTGTTTTAATTAAAATAGCTCAGCATAATACACAAGGTGTTTCGTCAGAATTATGAATATATTACCCAGATCCAGGTCTATAATCTCTTGTATATTCACTTCCATATTTGTTCATATCAGGGTTGATCAATGTCCTAAAACTGTATCAAATCAATTAATTTAATAAATGTATATGGTCCAAAAATAATAAATATGAGAATTAATATATATTCCTTACAACATAATAACCATGTAAATTATTCCAGTGAAGAATTGAAATAGTCTTTTTAAACTCCAGGGAGTACTATCTAATACGTTTCCGTCTAAAAGTCAATTAAAAATTGGTCTACATAAATAATCGGTATATATAATAATATACATAAGAAATAGTATAACAAACTGTCGATATACAGTATTATACAATACACTAAGGTTACGTTCATTACCATTCGATATATAAACCATGATTCACAATTTTCTTGTAGAACTTTTTCAATAAAATCTTTCAATTAAAATGATCCAGAAGTTTAGTTCAATTACATTAATAATGTTCTATTGCACAGATATTTTACACTTTTTTGACAGCACGAAATCCACGTCAGAAAGAATAACTTGAAGTTTCTCTGATTGCGTGTATACGATATGATAACGATTACGCACACATCGTAGTCATCTATGCACGAGATTTCCCAACCTATCACCGTTATAATTGGTTACAATGGTACCGGACATGATATCATATATACATATATATCATAGATAATGTGCTCTAATACGATAATTTATAATATAAATAGATCGAACCATCTGACAGCTAAGACAATCATTTTTGTACTACATTACTAACAATACAGAAATAAAGGTAGGATTGAAGTTTTCGTACTGTACAAATTATTTTCTGTGATGAAATTTGTAATTTTAAATATATTTCTTATGACCTGTTTTAGAGTGTGGATATATAACGTCAAGTAGTTTTTAAATTCTACTCCATATAATATGCTTTTTCTCTTTTGAGGACTCACAACAGCTCACAAATCCCCAAGGATCTGTAGCACACAGTTTGAGAAACACTGTTATAATGTATCTGCTATAGTTCAATGAGGAGCTGCTATCAGCCGCTATATTTACGCCTATCAGCTGTGGAATGACAGGTGGAATAAAAAATGGCTGAAAATGGGTTGGGGTCCGATGCTGGGTCTCAAGAATACCTCGCAACAGAGGTTATTAATTTAGATATCGAAGAGGTAATTAACTATCTTTATCACGTGTATGCTTAAATGTGCAAACTTTATAGACTCCATTTTCAGGTTATGTTCAGTATAAGTGATTTAATTATACTTTCCTTACGTTTGTTATAACATATTATTGAAATATTGTGATTACTGTATTATATTTGATAATATTAGTGTTGAAATTTGTTATTGATCTCTTTTAATATTTTACATGTATCACATGTAATGTATTACCTTTCTTTTTGTTTTTATCTTGACTTAAATATTCCATAAATGTGCATCTAATTACAACTTATAGTTATATTCATTTGTATTATTATTTAAATTATTAACTCTACTTATTAAGAGTACTAAAATTGTACAGTAAAACTCTTTATTTCAGTTGGACAACACAGAATATGCTATACCTGCTGTGGAAGAACTACCCTCCTTAGAAAGTATATTGACAGAACCTGACTGTGCATCATTATCTGGAACAGACGATGATATTGGTTTGACACCTGGTGAAAAGTTAGGTAGCAGTGAAACAACAAGTGTTGGGAGTCATTTGTCATTAAACTCTTTGAATAAACCAAATAGAAATTCACAACCAACATCTTCTGGTGCTATCTTGAGGCATGTCATATTGAAAGGAATATCTTCGCAAATTGTATCAGCTAGTGTAAGAGAAAAATGTACCATCAATTGTAACCAATTAAAAAGAATAATTTTGTTTGCTCTCTTTGGATCAATGGAATCAATTGAGAGTATAAACAATTTAAGTTCATTAGTTTTCAAGAACGATCCAAGTAGTTCTTACTATTTAATAAGGCAGTGTTTTGGCTTTTATTTATTTATTTTCAAGTTATACAATTTTATTATTCTAGAAATTTAAGGACAATAAACATAAAGAAATGATAATAACAAAATAAATATCGTTTTTTTATGTGTTATCTTTTTGAATTTCTAGAATAATAAAATTGTATAACCCGAACAGAGACACAAAATGAGCTCAAAATGTCATATTGTTAAATAATGAAAGTTATTTGGATTGCTCTCTAAAGCCAATAAATTGAAAAAGTACTATGTTAATCTTATATTTGTAAATGCTATGTTAAGTCTAATAGGAACATTTTATTTATGTAGGAAAAAGTCAATGCCGGTTTTGCAAGTGCAGTTGCTGCTGGAGGGAATATGTTAGTAGTTGGTACCAGTCATGGTCTGGTATTAGGCTTTGATTCTTTACAAACATTACGATGGTGCGATCAAGAAACAAGACATCAGGGATCTGTATCAGCATTATGTTTTAATTTTGATGGGAGTAGAGTACTGGCTGGTTTTGCTAGAGGACATATATTAATGATAGATAGTTCTAATGGAAAAGTACTAAGGACACTCACCGATGTTCACCCTTTCGATAATGCTGTATTACATGTTAAAGTAAGATCTGTTTGTATTATTTTATTAGTTAATTCACAATGTTAATTACGTTTTAAAATAATTAAATAACTGCTTTATAATATAAAATATTAATTTTTTTTATTATAGTTCACAGATTCACCAAAAGTAGCATTATGTAGTGACAGTGGTGGATCTGTTTTCGAATTAAATTTTACAAGAGTTATGGGAGTACGTGGTTGCGACAGCAGATGTTTATTTAGTGGGTCCAAAGGTGAAGTATGCACATTAGAACCTTTGCTATTAAATCATCTGCCGTCACACCCCCTGAAAAATTATACGTTAGTGGCGATGGCAACATTATCACAGGTTTATTTATATTTTTTTAAAGAAATATGAAAGATATATTACATATACACGCTGTACAATAATAAAATTTTTTTAGGTAATGGTAGTTTGCACAAGGCCACGAACACGCGTTGTATTAATTCATCCTTTATCTAGTGCTCCCGTAGCACCGCCACAATTATCCTGGCAACTTGTTGTTATACAAGCAGCAGATGCTTCTCGTGTAATTGATCCAGTTTTGGCTCTTGCAAGAGATGATGTAGTCTATTTCTATCACGTATGAATTCCACATGATTCTATATTTTAAATAGTTACATCTCTAAATGATTCGTATTGATTGAATTTCCTTACCAGGTATGCACAGAAGCTGGTTCAAGAGTAAAACTATTTCCTCTAAGGAGGATAACTCTTCCGTATACAATAAGTAATTTGCGATGGTTAAACCCAAGATCGTTAGCAGTATTGGATACTCAAGAAAGACTACATCTATTAGATGTTAGAGCGCAGGATAATTTAGAAACTCTAGATATGAGCCGTGTTGGTATTTCGTATGCATCTAGCCATTTCAAGGGTTTATCCACTGGTGGAAATGTTTCAAAGGTATTGATTAATTAGATGATTAAATTAAATAACTATTTGACCAGGATTGGTTATCGTAATTTTATTATTTTGTTAAAATTAGGCAATGGCATTGGCTGGCGAACGAGCATGCTATAATACTGTTGTAACATTTGGTACTCAACTTTTACTCTTAGGTACAAAAAGTTTGCATGTAGTTTGCATACGAACATGGACAGAACGATTGAGACACTTAACAATGCAGGTTTGCATAATATAATATGTACATTAGATTCACTACATTCTATAAAGTGTAATTTCCACAATTTTAGAGAAGATTTCCAGAAGCACTAGCGTTAGGATTTGCTTTCTACCAAGACAAAGGGAAAGCAGTCGTTGGCCTTCGTGGTTCAAAACAACGACGTAAACAAATAGCTCGTGATAAAGTATGTCAAGTTTTGATTCAATATATGGAAGAATTGAATCGTTGCCCTGCGGATGAAACTGCAGACTCTGAAATAGTCACAACTTGTGTAGATTATTGTATACAATTAGAAAATACAGAATTATTATTTGGAAAGTTATGGGATCTAGTTTCGGAATCCGAGGGACTTAAAGCAAGTTATTTGCACGCTCTTGAAAGCCCTTTGTTAGATGGGAGTTTACGACCTCGATTACCGCCATTAATTGCTCAACATTTAGTCACTCTTTATGATCAAGAGAAAAAAGTAGATTCCCTTCAAGCGATTATAGTGTTACTAGATGTGGATTGCTTAGATATTCATCAAGTAAGTAAAAAGATTTATTACATTTTCTTAATTTTGTTTACTTTATTTGGTAGTAGTGGCGCGTTATATACAGAAAGAGACATGTGTTGACCAAAGAGTCTCGATAAAATGGGATTCAATTTAAAAATCTTCGTCATTATTTTTTTCTTTACATGGGTAGCCAAGTTTTGTTTTCTTCTAGCATCATGAAAATATAACGCGCCACTATTCGATAGGAAAATAACAATTTAAAATATACATCCTCTTGACAAATTTTGTAGGTAACAACAATTTGTCGTCAACGAGGTCTTTGGGGGGCTTTAATACATCTTCAGACGACAGCATTAGGTGATTTTACCGCTCCGATTCATCAATTAGTACCAATTTTACAAAATTTACTGACAAATTCAAAAGATTCATTATCTCGGGATAGTATACAACTTGGTAATGCGATTCTGGTTTATGCTAGTTGTTGCCTTGCCGGTCGTGGCTTTCCTAGAGATGAACTTCCAGAAGGCAAGTCTCAAAGAGCAAAATCGGATGTGTTAAGGGCTCTTCTATCACAGCATTCAACCTTAGCTAATGATACGGAAAGACAATATCCGTATCTAAGGACTTTGCTTCAATTTGATGCAAAAGGGTTCCTTGATGTAATAGCAATTGCCTTTCAAGAACCAGAATTCACATCTGAAATGGGTCTCAGACAGCGACAGAGACTTATAGATATACTATTGAGTATTGTCATGCCTAACACACCACTTAGTCCGAAGAACACTGATTATATTACCGATGAACAAAGAAATCTAGTTCTTATATTCGTCGCTAATGAAGTTGCAGAAAATACTGTTAACTTGGAACCTAGTATGATAAATAAAATGATAGACATATTATGTACTGATTCAAATATGGGATCAACAAAAGAGCTTAAGACTGATAAAGAAAATGCAATACTAGGATTGTTACGTTCAAAAAAATTACGTAATATATCAGATAATACTCTACTTAATTTAGCAGAGAGAGCTAAGTTGTAAGTATATGAGCAAATATATTTATATTACCAAATATTATGGAACCAATTGCTTAATAACTTAATCCTTTTTCGATATTATTGGAGTATGCACAGTGATTCTAGAAATTGGAACATGCTATAGCTCATTTCCAAGTTCAGATACAAAAAATTGTTACAGGAAATCTTGGATTCTATAATGGAAATTATATTTTGATCTTGCTATATTTTTGCTTTGAAAAAGCCCTTAGCTTGTTTCAGTTTCTTCAAGAACTCTGTATATTTCTTGATTGGTGTAATGGAAAATATTCGTAAACAAAACGTAATATAGTTTTAATACCACATTATAAGAAATAGTAACTTGTATCGCAGTACATAATGTTACAGTATGCGAGTTGCGGAGTTGTTGTACAGTGCAAGAGAAGATTGGATTGCAGTCTGTAAATGTATGATACTGCATCCATCCAGACATCATGATATTTGGCCTTGGTTAAAACACCTTCCTCAGAGTTCATTGCAAGCAGTCGTAATGGCTAATGCTGAAGCTCTAGTAGGAATCAATGCAAATCAATTTGCTATGCTTATAGGAACACATATGCAAAATAAAATTAATGAAACATTACAAAAGCTAGAGAACACTCCAAATATACAGTATACTCTATTAGATGCACTATATCAATTAGTCCAATATAAAGAAGAGGATGTCTCATTGGAGCTTACAGCTGAATTGTTAGAAAAATATTTGGAATTAATGTGTGAATTACAACCAGAACGTGTAGGTAAAAACTAAGATTACACCAAGATGTATAGAAAATACCATTTCCTATTTTAATTATTTTGTTCTATGCAGGTAGTTTACCATATTCAAGCAGGTCATGGTTGCAGACTAAATGAAGCGTTGAAAATAGTTCAAAAAGCAAATCATAAAGATGCTGAAGCAGTTATGTTAGAAAAGTTGGGTAATTATCAAGATGCATTTGATATTCTTTTGAAAGAATTTCAAAATAATCTTGAGCTGGTAAATATGCTGTATAAGAATAATATAATATAAATATTGTTGGTTGGTTTTTATGAGTTATAAAATCGTTTTCTAGTATTGTCAGAACAAGGTTTCAGAAAATGAAACAATTCATAGTACAGTACAGCTTGCTGGTTTGTGTAGGCGATCTGCTGGAAATTTAGATTGGATGCCGCTTATGGAAATAATACTTCGAACACACTCAAATAGTAACAATGAGAAAAGTATGTTATGTATTTATATCAATCTAGTGCAAACAATAGTAACGCTCTATATTAATTAATAGCATATTTTTCATTTTACTTTGTGGAATAATTAATAATACTAATTGAATAAATTACAGTTGAAAAATTAAGCGGGAAATTATTAAGGATTGCATTAGAATATCTCAGTGGTACAACAGCATTATCAACAGTATTAGAACAGATATTAAAGCATCCATTGGCAACCAGTGGAACAATAGGTGATATAAGACAGCTATTATCTGGAGTACTTACACATTCTCGATATGAACAAACTTTGGTTGAGACTACTGCACGTTTGGTCAGCTTAGAACTTCATAAGGCACTAAAAAAATCATTAAGGTATGAAATGATCTGATAATTAAATTCATTTGATATTGATAATAATTTTTTTAAATACGAACGTTTTCCCTTACAGAGATGCTGGAAAAGCTTGTGCCAGTATGTCAATAATTTGTCCTATATGTCGACAATTGTTGTCACAAAGTTCAGATTACATTGTAGTGTTCAGTTGTGGCCATGGCTTTCATTCAGAATGTTTGGGAGAACCTAAATCTTGTTATAAATGTTTAAATTCGAAGGGATGGGCACCTGTTGTTACTAATGTCACACATCCTCCCAAAACATTCAATGTAAGCAACACTATTTTTTATTATGTAAAAATTACATACATGTATGTATATTGTTAAAATATTTTATATGTTGATACAAGTATGTTAAAAATTGGAATTGATTGTTTTACAGGCATATAAAGAAATTCTACCACCGGCATTTATGCGTAATAAAGACCTTTCTCTAAGTCTTGCGCCACCTACTTTACCAGATCTTGAAGGTATTTTTTAATCTAGTCTTTAAATATCAAAATTCAGTATCACATTTATCAGTGGTATGTAGCATTCTAATAGCAAAAATGACTGTGTCTTATACATGTACATTATACTAGATCTCTAACTTTCATTCCATGAACTTTACATTGTTCTCTTTTCCTATTCCATATACAAAATTAAATTCTTATAATTTTTAATGGAACTCTCTTTTATATAATTGCGAGAGTACACCATTTTATCATATTTCCACCAATTTATTGAACTTGATATTTAAATAATATTTTTTTCCTTGGCAAGACTCAAATGTTGTATGTTTGTATATTGTAAAGTAATATACTTAATATTGTGTATAGTATCAAATAAGGACTTGTATACTTTTAATGCTGTAAATTCTATTCGCCCAATTTACAGCATTTTGCCAAATATCAGTCATTAAGTAAATAAAGATATTCATTAAGTAAATAAAGGTATTATTATTCATTATTAATAATTGTGTACATTGTCCTCAATTTAATGTTTTATTTGGGAAACTTTCAAATAATAAACAATCTGTTGAAATTAATATGCAAAAGTGTATATTCTATGTAGTTTTTATGTTGGGTAATAAGGGTAAGTAGCTTTACGTTTAACATTCTTGATAATGAAAACTGGTTTTTTCGGCATATTTTCTGTCAAGATATGATTAGGATCAATAAATTCATGCCCTAGCAATTCACCAGTCAAAAGTTTTGAGACTAATGAAAAGATACTCAAATCGTATAAGAAAGATTTTTTTGTAGGTAGTAATTCAACGTTAGAAACATACCTGTCCACTATAGATTCTAATTTTATAATGTGTGGAGTAATGTTCGATACAGATAGATACTGCTGTAACTGAAATTTAAGAACAAAAAATTAGTATTAAACTATTACTTTCTCCAATTAATTTTACCATTTATATTAGTACAAAAGTAATTGTTTTACCTTACTATCACACTTTTCTAAGCTATTTATAAGTTCTTCAATTTCAGTAATTAATTTGAATGTCTTTAATATATAAACAGGTTCGTGAACTTGTAGTGATGCCTTTAATAAAACGACTTCCTTCTTAATTTTATCTAGTAACAATGATAACGGAATTCCGTGTAATGTTCGACTGGCCATTCGAATTTTAGAATATTTTTCGGAAATCTACATGCATAGTTTAATAACTTTTCAAATATATGTATTTCGATAAAATATTTCATTTTTTAAAGATAATTTTTAATAGAAATGAAAATAAATTGCATGAATATGTAAGTATAAAGAGATACGTTTACAAAGAACAAGTATCAAAGTATTATATTTAAATGGTTTAGAAATACGCCCATTTTACCTGCCGATTTATGGAAGTCCATGAACTTGAAATTTGGTCAGCAAACTGTTTTATTTCATTTCCCTGTGGATGATGCGCTTCAGCTAAACTCCATAGAGAGTCAAGTTTATCCGCGAGGCCACGTGAAATATTATCGAAACACGTGAGTTTAGTTTCCAATTCGTGATTTATTCTTAAATTATAATGATTTTCTATTTTTAAGATCGTTACCTAAATAAATACAATTGTTTTTGTTGTGTTTCTTATCTTTATTTAGTTTTGTTTGCAATTTTATTAAATAAACGTTAATGCACTTTTTATTTCTTTATATCTATGAATCATGGTTGCTTGATTTTTGTACCACACATTTTAACTTCCTTTTATGCTAACCAAGTTAAGAATATATAATAAATGTCAATAATTTTAAACGTTCTTGTGACAACATTGAAATATCGTTTGTGTTATAAAACTGACTAATTAAAACTGAATTATTAATTCGTATAAACACGTTCTAACTATGACAGTAATAAATACTCACATTTCTTTCGAGCGTTTTTATGAACTCTTTTTGAGTAGTTTCTTCCTTTCCAATTACAAATTCCATCGTGAATGACGGACAAATTTTTAACTGTACAGAATTACTGTTAAAAATGATAAAGATCGCTATTAACGAGTTATAACATTAAACAAATGCTAAAATACATTAGATGCGCGTACAAACTTTACATTGCTTCCGCTGGAAAACGCGATAGTCTTATTTTCTTTTATGTTGTAAATGAATTTGGTTTCTATGTATTCATCATGTACTCTAATGCGTTTCGACATTGATATATCAAATATCGTAGAAACGACATTTTCTTTTTATTTGAGATAGGTAGTACATAAATTAAATCTGGCGTTTATCGCTGTATAATTGGTATCACGTACGACTACAATGTCAAACGTAGTGAATTTACAAAACACCGATTCTCATTCTTTCAAATGATACATGAATTTGCACGATACAAAGACCGTTATCCTACCTCAGCGGATGCAGTAACATCGTGCTTACTATAAGGTTACACCATGATAATTATATTATATTTACCGCAATATCAAGCCTGTATGATTATAAAATTGCGACTAATATTTAAGATATAGGTCAAGAGTATATCAAACTCATGTACCTTCTGAAATGAGAAAACTGATAATTAACTAGATCCGTAATAATCGCCAGATCTTAACGTATGTTTGTTGTTTTCTTTTGGCTAGTATTTCATTTGTAGATTGATATAACGAGGTATCATATATAACGTGCAGGCAAAACAGCCGACTTCCTTATACTTGGCTTAACAATGTATCTATGGCTTTGTAATTTTTAATACTCTATGAAAAGTTCATAATATTAAAATTCTACACTTATCTATGCAATTTACAATTTTTTTTTAAAACTAGTATTTCAATAACTCGGTATTATTACTCATCATTATTGTTAAACACTTCGTTTGATTATGCACAAATTACCCAATCACTCTGGAATTTTCATACATATATATATATATAATATATATAAAAAAAAAAAAAAAATTAAATTCGCATACATTCACAAGTATGCATATTCATCATGTATGAAGAAAGATTGTTCGCTTACCGTTCAATTATTATAATTACTATGAACCTGTTTCTTTTTGGTAAGCTACGATGAAAAGCATCTTTCTTGATATTAATTGTTAATAAAGATTTGCAGTTTAATTGAACTGGTTTTGCTCTAATTCGAAGAGGGAGGAGTATCTTTCTTCATCAAAACAAAGGACGGATTTTTTAGAAGAACGGAAGATGTTCCCCAACATAAAACTTTGAAAATATCCTTTTGTTTAATTTCAGTATCATAAGTAAAAAATTTTGAATTATTTATATAATTTATAATATTACAATTCCATATTGAGAACTTTTATGAACAATTAAAGGTATACAAGGTAAAGTGTCTTTTGCAATTTTAATTTAACAGTAATATTTATACTTATTCAGCACAAATAACGTAAGATTAGTATAAAATAATTCTTAAAAATTTTCGTATTATTGTACAATATAAATGTTAAATTATTTTATGAATAATATATTCAATTGCGTAATTCAAATTAAATAACAAGAACATCATTTCACGATGTTATTCAAAAGCATACAAAATTCACATAAAAAGTTATCGAACTCTTTTGTTATATACTGTTAAAATGTTATCAATGTAACTTTTAAATATCGCATCCACACATGCAATCCTTCAATACTATGTGTACAAGACTAAATTAACGCGATTTTATAACAGACTTTTCTTCGTTCATTATGAACACAAGATTGACAGAGTTGTTGATACTCATCCCCCACGTTCTGTTTAGTAAAATGTCCATAAGACATAATGTGAGCTACAAGACAACGATAGAGTACAAGACTCTGTCAGGAACATGCAAGGCTGTTACAACGCAGTTTAGCAATTCGTTAAGAGTAAATGTGAACAGTAGCTTTGAATATTAATTATCTAAATTAACATTGTCACGTCTGTAGTTCAATTTCAACGTATTGAAAAATTATAATTTCTTTTAGTAATTGAAAACTAACAAAGTCTTTCAGTATCGGATTGCTTTCGAAGTTTTTCCCTCAATGAGTTTTCTCCTTTTATTTTATCCCCGTTGCCAATGTGCTCGAGAATGATTATTATATCTGTAATGTGAAGGCCTATAATTTCTACCATGACGTTGTCGAGTATAGCTAGAAGTATTGTAGTAATGCCTTCGGTAATAATCATTAATAGATCGATTCCACGTTTTGCCATTTTGATATTCTTGGAAAGGATTATACCCAGTGTTACTTCTTTCTTCATATGTTCGATGATCTTTCACTTTTTTCACTCGTCCTCGGTCTAGTTCTTCGTCATCTGTATTAAAGTGACGTTTGCGTTCCTCCCGCCTATCATTGTCAATTTCTCGGTCTAAATGCGTTCTATTGCCATTCCAATTTGAAACTGTAAAAACGTAACAATACATTTCATAACATACTTTCCGTTTCGTATCACAAATAATTCGTTTACTACAACAACTTTACGTAATAAAAATGATCATACGCTGTTTTTTATTTAATTTTGTATGACCCTATAATGGTGATAACCTAACACTTCATATAATTTCCTCATAGACACAATATATTTTAGAATAACACAGACTCAACAAACAGTAAAATTGTATATGTTCATTAAAGATTTTGACATAATTTTTTATATGATTATTAATTCACGCATATTTTATCGAATGTATGAATTTTTTGTTATCACTTTAGGTGAAATTTTAGATTTGAAGATATTTGAATCGAGATGAGATTTCGTCCCCTGCACGTTTATCTTATGATTCTGTGTAGAATTGTTTGATTTGGGATACATGGATGCATAATGAGCTGTTGAGGATTTTGAAGGAAGAGGTGCTGGATTCAATGGGTTCCTCGAGAAAATTCTTTTGCTGTACTGACCCGAAGAACTGCCGTAACCACGATGAGACATCTTCAATAAATGTGAAACCGTTTCGGAACGATTCGTTCCATTGAAATCTCTTAAAGCTGCAGCACTGGGTGTCGTATTATTTTGACTACCTTTGTTAATATCTTCCCTATAAAAATAATATAAATTATTATAGTAACAACAATAATTTTTCATTAAATATTAAATATAATATTTAAATCAGATTGGAAATATAACTTACTTATCGGTAACTGACCACCCATTAGGTACTGCAGCTGATGTTGGAGAAAACGTATCTTTCGAAACTTGCCAACCTTTCATACTGCTGCTTGCAGCTTTTGTAATCACTTTCTCGTCTTGTCCTACTTTTGCTCTTACAGATTGATGCCACTTAGTCTTATTACTACTGCTTTCTGTTTTACTGTTTACTTCTGATTGACCATTTTGATATTTTATTAGACTCGTAATGGTACTGCAACTAGAACCATTTTGTATCTTCGTACATTGTGTTATATTAGTTTGATTCTGAGAAATACTACTGCCATTTGTCTTTAACGCAGATTTTTGCATATCTTTAGAATTAATAACAGTTTTAGGTGAATTATTCTTTATCGGAGAACCTTTTTGCATGCCATTAGTACCACTGGAAGAAACATTTGTTTTTGGCGGAGTATTTGAATTCGCGTTATTTTTCAATGCTCCAATACAGATAATATCCTCCTCTTCACTAGATCCATCATAAGGAACCAAACTATTCCCATTTAAAATTTTTCCATTTTTAATATGCATAATCAATCTCGGTTGTGTTTTATCTTGTAATTTTTGTGGTAACAGTGGCCCAATAAAATTTGTGCCCTTTTGCATGGTACATGGAAGTTCTGTACTTTTACTTGCTGACGTTTGAGAACTGATTTCTGAATTCTCAGTAATGTCTTTAGTAATCGATGTGCCATTAACTGATCCATTTAAAGGGAGTAATCCAGAAGTTGATGGTTTAGGACTAATAGTCTTATTCATAGGACTTCCTGGTGAAGATAATGTATTGTTTACAGTCAATGTACCATTTAATTTAACAGTCTGTTGATTTTGAACCTGAGTTTGTGTCTGTTGTTCCATTTCAAAAATCATTATGTATGCATTTGTACTCAATACATTACTCAAGCTAATTGGACGAACCTATACGGAAAATATACAAATAATTATGAACAATATATAAACATCAAATATATTATTAAATTAAAACTAAGAAGCAAAGTTTATGGCACGAAGTAAAGTTTAGTTAGATAAAGTGCGATTCGTTATTTTGATGAAAATAATTCTAATTCTGTTTAAAAATATATTACTAATAGGATATTTTTGATACATACACAAGAATCATCAAAGGAATAATATTGGCCTGTTGAAACCTTGGCAACGGCTGTGTAATGTCCACAATTTACCGATGGACCCATATGCGTAACTATCGACATAAGTTTATATGTGAGCGGTTGTGTAGGTTCACCTGGTTCTCTCCAGAGATAGGGACCCATGTCTATTGTTTGTTTAAAACCTATATGTTTAGATATTTTTCCTCCCAGAACACTAAACCTCTTTAACTGTACACAAAGCACTTTAGGAGGTCGTTCTAAGCTAAATTGTTTCGTGGCAGGAACTCTTCTTTTACATGCTTCGCATTTATAATCATTGTTATCTAGTTGTTCACGACTAAAATAACTACTCAGTGCTTCATCCAGAGTACTCGCTTTACGAATATCTACCAGTAAATCCTACAGAGATATAAAAATATTCTTAAGATTTTACTGAATGTTTGTCAAGTTAACTAAAAATTCTATTTTCTATACCTGAAAATGTTGAAATGTAGTAGAAACATGTCGACATTGTAAACACTTGACTTCAGTACGAATATAACCACCAAAAATTTGATTAATAGGAGTGGTTTCTTTAGAATAACTGTCTAATTTGCCAGCCTTATGTCTTGCTAAATAAGCCTTTTCCATGCCTTCTAGTAAATAACGTAAAAATTCATGAGCATCTTCTTGCTGTCCCGGAACCATAGTTCGGCAAATGACTGATGAATAAATTAATTAATTACATACAAAATATATAAGATTCGGTAATAGATGATTTATATTTTCCAATACTCACGCTTTAATTTGTTATATATATAGAATGGCTTAATGGCGCAACCTGATTTCTGATGACTAAATTGCAAAGTCTTAGCCACTGCGCATGTAAGGCACTCTCCACCTCCATCTAAAACTAACCTATTATCAAAATACGACACAAAACTGTGGAATTATAAATGTAATCTTATTTTTATTATTCATAGAATATATAGTAATTATTTATGATATTAACAATCTCATTAATTTTAATAGCCTTGAAGGATGTTAGAAAGGAACTGCCATTGGCAAGGAACATCCACTAACTGTCTGTCACCTTTGATTCTAATAAAACTTTACAGATTTGTGAAGCTACCAATCTGCTAATAATTGTATTTCAAGTTTAAGCGGTGAAAATTGTCTTCCAAGATTTCATTTAATAATATCTTGAGAATTACAAGAAATTTTTTCAAACAAATTCTTTACAGATTTGAAAGAAAATAATATCAGCCAAAAAATAAATATAAAGTCAGAAAATGATTTCTATCACCTACATTCTCAACAGTTTTGAAAATACAATGCAGTGAACTATTTTTATTTCAAATTCAGAATTAGCTACAAGCAATACAACAAGTGATCATTTTCTTTCCACAATAAATGGTAGTTAGTTTTCCATATATAATGCAAGTGTATAGTGATTTTTTAATTTTTTTTTTTGTAATGTGTACAATATGCGTACAATATGTGTACAATATTTTTTTTTGTAATGTGTACAATTTCCATTAAAAAGAATAAGGATTAGAGGATAGTTTCACCCCTTAAACTTGAGATACCACTACTAAAAAGGTACATATCATTTACTTTTCGGCTGGTGAACAAATCTACAATATGTCATAGAAATTAGGGACTCTCAATTTTAAAAATAGAACCAGATTATTACCTCTTAGTCATAATGGTTTAGATTGATTTGGTTTTATTTATAAAACAATAATGGCAAATAAACATTTCCTAGCAACAAGCAACCTAGTGCTCAGGAGAGTTACAACCAAATATCAATGAAGATACAAATTATTACTGCAAACTCAATAATTATGTCTTGAAAATTAAGAGTGATTGACAAATATTTTGCTCTATATCTCATAATGACCAACTCTCTCGAACATACTTCAAGACTGTTGAAATTGATAAGATCAGTGGTATTGTGAATAATTACTGAATATGGAATACAAGTTACCAAGAAAATATAAACTTTCAAAACTTACCATTTTGTTCGCACTTTGATGTGTGATGCGTATCAGACAATAACCAGTTAACAAGTGCTGGTACATGAAACAGTGCTTGAAGGGTGCTATTTAAATAACAAGTATTCCCAACATTATACATGCCAGCTCCAACTGGAAACGTGCCCTTCCATCCTAGACTGATTTTCTTTGGAGAGTATAAAGTAGTGGTTGGCTCTGGTAAACTAGGTCCTTTAACCATTCTTTCATTCCTTTTCACATAAGTTGTACCATCTTTTGGTTTATCATCTGAATTTTCTGAGTTTGGTAAGCTTAATACAATATATTTGGCTTTAAGTTGATCCAATATCGTTGTTTGATAATCATCCACTTCCTTGTATTGAATTTCAGATTGGAGGATTCTAGATGCACTACTAACTAAACTTGTTGATAAATCATCCGATGTTTTGGGTTGACTATTCTCTAACGTACGGCAGAGTGTAGCCGTAACAGGATCACAAATGCGCACAGCAGGCATTGTTATTATATTTAATCTTGTATCAAACTTTTTATTTCTTACTCCTATAAAAATATATAGAAAATAATATGTTAATATTTAAAATAATAACATGAAATATTTGGGAATATTTTTCATAATACATACAACATTCTAAACTCTATTATAATTATAAATACCATATAAACAAACTCATATTTAGATTGCAGTTTCAAAAGTAATAAACATTATTAATTTTAATTTACCATCTTTTATTTGAACTTATTATAATTAAAAAATCATATGTAAAAAGTAATATAGACAATGTTATACAAGTATTGACAGTTTTTTTCTACATGAAATGTGTAGACATAAATTATAAATAAGAATCAATTAAAAATATAAAGAATCGCAACATTTCATTTCACTATATAATAAAATTACCTAATCGTTGTATAATTATCCAATCAATTCCGTCAAAATAAACAGAATATTTTACAACATAATAATTACACGTTTTTCATTTTCGTACTTAAGATAGTACATATAGCAGATGCAGGGATATCGCGGAAGTAGAAGTGAAAGGGTTAATTTCATAACTAATTCATTTATGATCGTAATATTAAGTATGAATCGATGCGTCAATATATGAATCAGTCGAGATAAAAAAGAAAAAGTTGATTTGCTTGAAATTGTTTCAGTGATTATACTTAGTTCCATTAAACATGTAACAGAATACACTAAAAGCACGCGGCGTGCAATTGATACCGCGCGACAGATTCATTGTTTACCTTTCTTCAAGTGATTACGTACGTTACAGCCCGTACAAATAATTTTTATCGATGCTATTACAACACATTTCACGCAATAAACAAGATTTAACGATCGCCAGCACATACAATCACAATGTTATCGATTTATTCAAAATTCCACGCGCTTACGTGCCTCGGAAATGATTACCGGATGAGTTTAACCGAGGGCGCGTGTCTCCGGCCACGAGTCATTTTTTCCCGCGTACTTTGTCACACTTACCCAACTTTTATTTAACCGTGTAAAGTGGTAACGTTAATTTCAGTGAGGAACACCATTAAAAATACCGCGCGTCAATACTACACGACATTTTTAGAACTGTTAGTTTTGGGCATGCGAAATCAAGACCCGTCTTCTACCGTCACGTCCGCCATTTGCAATTGCGGTGGCCATTAAACTTTTTCCGTTGGGTTCTAGAATCCTTATCGAGGGCGCCCAAAACGTAAAACCCGGTTTTCACACCAGTGTCACCATAGAATATTCTTATAAATGCGATACTCCGGTATTTCTCAAGTTCTGATTCTCTATGTAGGAAATTAGAGTAAAATGTGGTTAAATTAAAAACTAATTTCAAACATGAATTTAGTCATTTTATCGTAAATTTGTCTGTTTGCATTTAGTGTCGAGTTGGAATTAAATTGGAGAAAATCGAATGGAGCACTTATAAATATATGTATTTTGGACTATTAAGTAATCCATTGAGTATTCTTAGTCGATAGATCAAAATGTTTTTTTGAATATGTTAAAATTAATTAAAAATGTGTCAAGTGATGGTGTCGGGGGAAAAAAGGAAAAGAACCCCAAACCCAAATCCTTACCAAAGGTTAAGTTTATTTTGAATATCATGAAATTGTAAGGTAAAAGAATTTTTATAATTAAGTATAAGTATACTTTGTTATAACTAAGATAAGAAACGGAATTAGGTACTAAGCGATGTATTTGGGATACCCTACAAGAACCATTAACTATATATAAATCAACAGGCAAATAAACAACAAAGACTTTAATAACAAATAACAATAACAGAAATATAACACTGGAGGTACGCTTTTCAAATTCCACGAGGTGGACTATACGCCAATCGGAAACGGAAAAAGAAGACACTTCTTCTATGTTATATGACTGCGGGAAATCCCTAGGCGCTGAATGCCCTAGTCTAGTAATATGGGGGTCAGTTGGTTCAACTGTTCTAACCCCAGAATTTTGTGGAAAGAGCTTAGGTGTTTACCAAGAAACAGAGAGCTACGAGTTTTGATTTGGAGAATTATACTTTATTTTCTATGTTGTCTATGCGACACGTTCAGACGCGTTCCTTTGAATAAGGAAGAAGCAAGCTCTTTTTCGTCTGTTACAAAAATTACGCTTTTTTGTCTGTTACGCCACTTAAAACTAAACTTACCAACTAAGTAACAAAAACTTACTAGCTAACTAACCTATAGTGCTGCGGTCCGATCTAGGGACCTTTCTGCCACAGTTTGGTGGGGATTTTTCCCTAGGCTTGGTCAGGTTGGCGCTACTGTCGCGTTAGCGTGGGATTTTTCGGACTTCTGTAAGAGTCGACTCGCGCTTCGGAGGGCCTGGCGCATTCCTGAGGTACTAACCTCTCGGCCTCTAAACGCGCTAGACGTTGCTCTAACTCCTCTTACGACATTTTCCCAGACGAGGTGATAAATTCCAATTAAAATAACACTACAAAACTCGTACCGTCGAAGCCGGACACCCAAAATCCCAAAATGGCCGCTACGACCGAACAATTGCGTCTTACCTATCGCATGGCCATCAAAATGGCGGACTTGATGTAATAGGCGAAGGTAGCGATGAGTTTCTTTTACAGGCTCCACAGGAACCCGATTTCTTGCTGAAAGGCGCCGGCGTCGTCGGCTTCACGCAATACAATACCCCAGACGCTGAAGTTGCTCTCTCGAAGATAGGCGCCGGTGTCGTTGGCTTCGCGCAACCAAAAAAGAACACGTGATCTGAAGAGGCAGCTTGGCTTCAATATATCGGCAATTTCCCAAGATCACGTCGGGGTCACCTGATGTGGGGATTAGTTTACTAATGATAGTATGCGTGATAGACGTATAACTTGTGAACGGTGTTTCATTTATTTAATACTATAATAATACTAGTTTTGCAGGTATTAACTTCGCACGAAACGGCTCTCGAAGCGTCTCTGGCCTAAAAAAGTTGCACGCTCGAACGTCGCACGCTTGCCAAACTCTGGAAAAACCCCACGCCGACGCGACAGTAGCGCCAACCTGACCAAGCCTAGGGGAAAGTCCCCACAATTTCGAATCTGGTTGCATCATCTGGCAGTTACGATAAGAACTAAACTTAGTTCCATTCTTAACGTTAGATGGCGCCACTAGTATCGAAATATACCTCATGTATGAATGTTACTTCGCCATTGTCATCCCTAGATGGCGCCACTAGTACCGAATCAGATAGGTGTGCAGTTTGAATTTTAGTTCATATCGTTCACCCCAAATTCAAGCAATAATATATTGACTTTCAGATGACCTTGTCTGGAGTTATTATTATAAAAACATTCTGTAACGTACACAGTCAATGTTTGCTAATTGTTAATAATATTTTATTATATTTTATGATGTATTAAATTGCAATAAGCTGAGTGTATCCCTCAGCGATATTCTTCTTATTGTTAGCAGTCAATGGTATTCAAATTTTTAAGACGCAAACTAGATGCTATATCTTACTATATCTTACTTAAGAAATGTGTCTTGTTTACAAATTTATATAATCAATTAGTGATTTCAAATTGCAGCATTTTAAAAGCGCATATGATCTTTTTTTTTATACTTCCACGACAACGTTTCTCACTGGCAATCAAAACCATTATTTCTGTCGTAATAGTATCTTTATTAATCTCTATCGATAATCTTTGCTTACAAAATATACAGATTAACACAACTTCCAAGCGACAAGGTAATAATATTCCCGATAAAATATTTTTAATGTATAATAGCCATTAGTAGCAGCATTAACACGTTTACGATGGCGAAAGGGAACATCGCTATTTTAATCATTTTCACTCTATCCTCTATCTTAATTAACCGGCAATTAATTATCGAAACAAATTGTCTCGCTGTGTGGTAACAATTAACGAACGTAGTTACAATAAAGAATTCGAAGTTTCCATTCAAATAGGCGTTTACTATGAAAGTAACGATGTTAAACGATGTAATCGATCAGGGTGTGTTTATACGAAAGCGGTGAAACTGATCGATCGATGTTCGCATTCTTAACTATACATTAGGGTGTCTACGTCATTCCTCGGATACTCTCTGGCAGTGATAAAACAGACTAAACTTTTCGTTCGAAAAGTTTGCTTTATCCCAGTTGGTTCTTGAGAGTCGCTTATGCTACTTGACCATAAGACATCGTTCACGTGAGCGCATGAGAGACGAGCTCGCGAGTGCCGAGGCAACTATCGGGGTAAAACCGACGATGGGACAAGCGATGGGAATGATACTTAAGGGACTCGATGTCAAAGTACTAAACCCCAGATCTTCTATCGAGTCAAGTGTTTTCGAAACAAAAATGGCTAAATATATCTATGGTTGTCACGCATTCAAAGTGACTTCCTTCCTTAAACAGGTATTCCATTCACAACATCGAGGGTAGTTTTCACCTGTTGAATACACTTCCAGACAAAAAGATAGCACACCTGTGATCGTGTTAAGATTATGCTAGCGTGAAAACTCTGAGTTATATGTAAAACGTACCTTCTACGAATGTGTAAACATAACATAGACAAAATGATAGCACACTTGAAAAATAAAGATATATATTTCATATGACACCACTACCACAACAAAAGTATACATATTTCTTATAATAATATATATACAAAACCCTTTGTTTATTACAATTTCCATCATCCTTTAAGATAAAGAATTACGTATATAGTTGTTTAATTTTTATTAGTGTTAAATTTTCCCATTCGGTTGTAACGCAAGTTTTTAATTCATTTATATTTGAAAATCGTCGGCCTTCAGCTGATACTGTTTGCAAAAACATTGCTCAGCAATTTTTGATGACATTATGGTCGGGTGTGCGCGCCGGCCATTGACGAGTGAAAATATTCTCCTTTAAAAAATATTCCTTAATAATTTTAGCAGCATATATTGCAGCATTATCTTGCTGGGATATACATGTATATAGTGTAACAGCAATGCTTATTAATTTGATTTTTTATTAGTTCGAGGTAACGAATGCTATTCATTTTGCTCTGAATAAACTTAATTTCTGTTTTCTCTTGATATCCGTTAACAGCCCAAGCCATAACTCCATCTCCACGCTTTTGACGTCGAATTTTTGTTAGTAGTTGTTTACGAACATCGTAATAATAATACGTATATCCGTCTGAGCCATCAAGGGTGAACCGTTTTGTATCCGTAAAGATTACTTTTCTCCAAGTCTTCTTCCAAAGTACATGTGCATTTGCAAATAACAACCGTGTCTCCTTATGTGTTGCGTTTAGTGATGGGGGACGCCATTAATTTAGCCCGATTTATAATGCCTAGTCTGGAGTCTTCATGACGAACATTTTGCATATTTGTTTCTACGCCAGCTTTCTTAGCGATCTCTCTCGCAATAGCACGAGAATTGGAAGCAGCACGTATTATTGCTCGTGTATCGCGTTCAGATAATGCTGCTGGCCTTCCTGTACTTTTATATTTTCCATATGCACTTGTATATTTCAGCAAATTATACGATCCGCGGAGCTAATATTATACTAATATCACTTTCACTAAGCTTTTTGTCACGATCCACTACGAGGATAGCGATATAACAAAGCTCTAGAAATTGAATGTAATAACTCCATGCAAATTCACGGAACACTGAAGAATATGTAAACCTAGTTCAAGTGTGCTATCATTTTGTCTGTGTCGGATTATGTATTTCTCTTCGAACTAAGGGAACTCATTGAAGTAAAGTAAATCCATGTTATGTTTACATATTCGTAGAAGGTACATTTTACATATAACTCAGAGTTTCCATGCTATCATAATCTTAACACAAGATATTAAAGATAGCATAGATGTGCTATTTTTTTGTCTGGGAGTGTACATGTCTAATATTTTTCAATGGTCTATTTGTGTACCAAGTTTAATACAAATTGACGTGTTAAGATCATTGATTAATTACGTAAGG